AATACCAACTACACTACTTTGTCCCATTAATACATACTACAGATACAGGTCTTTCATTAAAACTTAGTTACCTTCCCTTGTCTATATAAAATTTTTTTCATCTTCTTCTTAAACTAATATATGAAACTGTTTTTCAGCTAGTGAGCATGATTCCCCAATCTATACCTTTTATGATGTCAGTGTTGCTCAAGAAATTTGTTGCAGCTTAGAGAAAACCAGAGCTTATTGTCTTTTTTATATTTTTTCATTCAAAGATTACCACAAATTAACTCACACTGGTAGTCTCAGGGAGAATATTGTCTTTGTTTTATGAATGTATTTTTAAGCTAAATCTCTTATCTTTTAAAAGCAGGAAAAAAATATGTTTGAGTTATTTGAATAAGGTTCTAGTTAGCATATACAAAGGTCTTGAACTTTAATATTTCATCTAAGGCCCTAACTGCATCCTTTTTTGCTATATGCACAAAGGTAAATACCCAGATGAAGATACTTGCTAATTACAATGAGTTTTGTATGTACTATATGTATAAATGAAAAATTTGTATGTTTTCATATAAACGATATAAAAATCTTCTAAATGCACATTTAAAAACTTCTATCATATAATTCACCTTGAAAACACCACTGAAAGCTGTATTCTGGTGATGCTGCCATGGATTAAAAATGTATACATCAGATTTTCTGTAGCTGGTGGACTCAACTGTAGGTATATGCAACTTTTTAATTTTAGAAGAAAGCCATATGGGGCAAAATGTCAGATTTCTTGGCTGTTACCCAAAATAAAATTCACTAGATCATTTTGTTACAATGTTCTGAAGTGAGTGTTGTGTATTTTTTCTTGCATGCTTTGCAAGGGATCAGCTGCCTTCTCCCATCTTCAATTTCATTTGTGCATTTTCACATAACTGGACAGGAATACGAAGATAACGATCCCTACATTTACCTATTCAGTGAAAGGTGTGCCCATTTTTACTAGTAGGCATCTGAATGTTTAGAAGCTCTCAGTTACTAGGTCTGCCACACTCAGAGCCTTATCAGTCTCCTCAAACCAAAAAAATAGCAAAAAAAAAGTCCCAAAACCAACCAAAAATAAAATGCCCAAAAAACCAACGAGAGTAAACTAGGAAAAATTCTATTTTCTACCAAATGGCCTTGAGAGCCTGTAAAATGTATTTGTCAAATAAGTCAGTATCTGGCTTTTGAGATTAAGGAACTTGCATGATGACAATGCCACTGTGTTCCTGATCTTTGCAGTACCTGGTATTCTGGAAAAAGCTAAAAGTGCAAGGATTCATGAGTTCATAGGCAGCCCCAGCCTCAGCTGCCAAGAGACACACCTTAGGGCATAGTCTGGAGCCCATGTTTTACAGCCACATGAACATCCAGCCATATTTATGCTGCCTGGTCTAAACCTTTCCCTAACCTGTGGGATCCATGGGCCCTTCTCAGTTCGTGTGCAGCCCTGCTGGCAGTGTCCATACTGCACACCGTGCCACCACCCTGACCCCAGCATTATTGGGCACTTCTGTACTCTCCTGGAACAAACCCACATTGAGGGCATACTCTGTGTTCTGTAAAACTGAAAAACAGAGCAGGTTTAAGTCTTTGTCTTCATTACCACACAGGACTATCAGGAGGGACCTCAAAGCAAAAATAGTAATATGGTTTATGTAAGAAATTATTCCAAGTGGAAAGCAGAGCCAAACCAGGCAAGTGTTCCAAGCCTAGGACAAGAGAGCTTTTCAGGCTGGTAACTGCCAGCACTGTCTCCATCCACTAGTTTGAAACAATTACTTTTCCCTGTCCATTTTGCATCATGATTTCAAAAGAGGCTATCTCATGGGTTTTTGAAAGGGCCTCATACATTTTTTGATAACTTCTTATTGAGCAAATGTTTCTTCATTACTCAGCTAAGCATATAACAGTTACTATTTACTATTAGATAATAGTAAATTGATAAATAACTTCAGCTTTTTCTTGTAGGAACCACTACCTGATCACAGCCTTTACACACCAACATCTGCTACTTGCTCTGTAGTTGAAAAATCAGCTGCCCCAGTTGCAGGAACCTGCACTGTTTTTCATACTGCTGCCCTGGTTGTTCAGGCTACCAACACAGTCTGAGGAAGCACAAGTGGGCACCTCCAGGAATTCACAGAGACGACAGCTCTGCCATACCAGGAGGCAGGAAACTGCTAACAAATGTGCAGCAATAACTGTGTCTCATTATTGGAAAATAGCAGCCTGGGTTTGTAGCTTGCAAAACCAGCACTATAAACTGATTAAAGTTGACACTGAAAGTGTGTGCCAGAGAAAGAGCTTGTTTTGAATTTTCATAGTGATCAATTTATATTTTAAGTGCAGATCTCAGGAGTGCCTTTGCAGCTGAAACTATTACATTGGTTACAACAGGACCATTTTATAAAACAAAATGTATTTTTCTTCTAGATACATATCTAGAGGTTAAAACACTTCCTTCTTTATAATCCCCATGAAGCAGTATTTTGCTGGAAACACTGTTTTCTTCAGGTGAGGATTTAGGCAACATCTACAATTACGCTGAAGTTTGTGTTTGCAAACAATGCAGGAGAGGTAACTGAACATCCACCCACTGATTCACCAGACAGGAGTCCTGTGCAGAAATCCTCTTCCCATAGCATGTGGAGTAGCAATTCAGAGAAATCTGATTTGTAATTTAAAGCACCTGTGAACTTCCACACAAAATTTTTCTCCAAACATTCCAAGACCATTCCCTTCTTTGCTGGCCAAACATTCTTCAGATGAACTCATGGATAGTAAGATAATATAGTCAAGAGGTGAAGTATACACTGCAGCTTTCTTATTCATTAAAATTTAAATAGGACTGGGAGGGAAAAACAACCCAGCATGCTAGACATTAAAATTAATTATCTTAGTTTTATTAAGGCACTAAAGTAGTTACTTTACCTATTAAAGCCATACATCATAACCTGATAATAAGGCATCTAAAGGATATTATTTCTTGTTTAAGAAGTGTTGATTTACCCTTCCACCAACTGTAAAATTTTGTATTAAAATACAAACTGTGTACATTTCTTTTGGTATGTTTTTATTATAGAACTATTGGTGTTATTGTAGTACACTTTTTGGTTAAGATCTTACATGGACAGTGATTTTTGTTTTGATTGCCTATCAAGAGTTCATCATTAATACAGGCTAACAATGAGAGGGCCTGGGAGTAAGAAGCTCAATGGAGAATAGCTTTAAGATCGCTCAGCACTTTGAAGTCATGGGGACATTAAGCTGTGCTCTGTGATACTGCAAGACTTGAATGGATGTATGAAAGAGATTCAAATACCTTCTCAGAGGTACCAAGAAAATATGAAAGTAAAACAGAAGGCAATCGTTGGGACCCTAAGAAGGGCAACATGTTTCTACCTAACCTCTGTCACTCTCCCTGTCCTCTCCACCCCCGACACACGCTTCTCTTTTTTTTTCTCTTTGCCTCTTTTACTATTAAATAAAATATATCAAATTTTCCACACCAACATTTAACCTCGTTTGGTTTTAATCATGTGTTTTGAATATATTTTGAACCTTCAAAGTTCTTTCCGTTTGATAATACAGACTTAGTTTTCTTTGCTCTTCTGGTTTAAAACCGGATGGTAACAGATGCAGCCAGAACTTGTGTTTGGAACACGACTTTGATACAGCATCAGCTAAAACCCAAACTATTTCAAATAATTGTAGAGCATGTCACAGGGTTGTTAAATGCGGGGAAAAATAGATATGAAACTATTCAAAATACCATACTGTAAATTGCATAAGCAACAGCTTTAGAGCCTGCAGCAAACCCTGTTTTTTGGTTTCATTAATAAAATCCCCAAACTCCTCAGACTCTGTTACGCCCTCATGAAGAAGGGGGAAGAGGCTGGCTTGTCGTGCAGCTCTCTCCAAAGAAAACAAATTTAGACTTCGAGGTGTAACCCACGGGGGTGGAGAGGGAGCTTGTAGGAAGCAGCTTCAGCTGCCTCGAGGCTACCGCTGCCCACGGCCCTCGCAATCCTCCACGCTGTGCAGGGGCAGCGTCTCTCTCCAGGGGCTGCAGAGAGCGGCACGGAGAGCCCGCGGGCGGATCTTTTGTTCCCGAGAGGCCGAGCAGCCGGAGCGAGCCCGTGCCCACGGACTGCCCCGTGCCGGCCTCGCCGCCCCTCTCCTGCTCCTGCTCCCGGGCGGGCCGGTTCTCCCGCGGCAAGCGCCCCAGCATTCCGCCCGGCCCCGGCTGCTCTCCGCCGCCCCGCCCCGCTCAGGGCCCGCCGGGCCCGGGCGTGGAGCGACGCGGAGGGGCGGGGACGGAGCCGCTCCTCCCGCCGGGTGAGGGAGCTGCGGCCGCTGCCTCGGCGCGGCGGGAAGCGGCGGGAGCGGGGCGGCCCCGCTGCAGGTACCGAGGGGGAGCGGAGCGGGCGCTGCCCGCCTCGCCTGCCGGGCGGGCTGCAGGGAGCGCCGCGCATCCCTCGCTGCCCGGCGCTGAGCGGTACGGGACGCTCTTGGGGCAGCACCCGGCTGGCCACCCTCAAAACTTGCCGTGCTGGAGGCGGCCGGAGCGGGAGGGCTGGCAAGTGGCTGCGGGAGCCGCCTGCCCTCATCGCCTGCAGAGCGAGGGAAGGAGAGCCGCCCCGGTCGCTTCTCGCACTACCGGGAGGAGCGCCCCGCCTCTCACCGGCAGGCGGGGCGGGGCGGGCTGGGTTGGCGGGAGCCGTCACTGAGGGGCGGCTCAGCTCGGCCCGGCCCGGCCTCGGTGCCTGCCGCGGTCCCGGTGCCGGGCGGCGGAGGTACCGCCCTGAGGAGGTTTCCCTGCCCGAGCTCAGGAGCCGCGCCCGCCCCGCCTCCCCTGGCTCCTCGCTAGGCTTTTCCCAGGGAAAGACAAAGTTTCCCGCCCGGCGCGCGGCCGTAGCGGGAAGCGGCGCTGTGTGAGTGAGCGCCTCCCCGCGCCTTGCCCGCCCCGGGCAGCCAGGGACAGCATGGTGCTGAGCGCGGAGCAGGTGAGCCTCATCGGGCAGGTGTTCGAGTCGTACGTGCTGGAGCACCACAAGGACGAAATCCTGGCCATCCTGAGGGAGGCGGACGAGCAGGCGCACTACCCGGTCGTCGTCGACGCCTTGACGCTCTTTGAGACCAACATGGAGATCGGGGAGTTCTTCAACGCCTTCCCCAGCGAGGTGCTCCCGATTTTCGACAGCGCGCTGCGCCGGGCCGCGCTGGCAGCGCTGCAGGACAGCGCGGAGCCCGCACAGCTCAGCCTCAAGCAGAACCTGCACGCCAGGGTCTCGGGTGAGTGCGGGCCGGGGCTGCAGAGAGCTGCACCTCCCAGCCGGGACTGCGGCATTTCTTGGCTCTTCAGGGAAACTGCCAAAAGTTCCGCACTCTGTAACAAACTATTCTTACTTGGCTCTTCAGGGAAACTGCCAACATTTCCGTAACCAGCTATTGGGGTGCCATGGAATGAGCGAGTTTAATTCTTGCCGTTCCTGTGTTTGAAACCGAGGGAATCCTCAGTGTTTATTGAGCAGCAAGGGACACGTGCAAACATGTGGATGGGTGTAGATCACCTCCCAAAAGAAAAGCTGTGGCCATGCCCACTGGGCTGCGTGTCTCTCGCTGGGTCAGGGCTTACACTAAAGCCTTTCCAGGGCAAAGACTTCTCCAAAGCAGCAGCTGGTCTTACATTATTTCTTTCAGAGAGAAGATGTGGAGAGAAGAAAAAAGGGAAAAAAAGTCCTGGGAAAAAAGTTTTAGGGGAAGATAAATGGTTCCAAAGTTTTACTGCAGGTTGCCTTCCCTACCATGTCTGTTGGCACTCAGTCCTTATTGGCTCCAGCCATCTTCCAAAGTCTAAATTTTGAGTTGTCTTGTAACAATTTCGTCTGAAAGTGTTGAATTTTATGCTTAAGTGTTATAAAATTGCTTGTCATAAAATTGGAAGGAACTGTTGGAAGGCGTGATTAATAATGGAGGATTCAGTAATGTTTTTACTGCCAGATGATATATCATTATTCCTTATTATTGGGAAATTTTTAATAGCTTTGAGTTTTGGTAAATGTGGAGTGCAGGTTCTGGGATTGAAATGTCTTTTTTGCCTGTTGTGGGAAACAGGGTCAGCAGTGGCACCATCCCTTCTGGTCATTTCTGATCATAACAATTTGGAGCAATAGTCTGCAAAGCCGAAAGCTGGCAGCCTGTGTTTCCCTCCTCTGCCCTGTTGTGGAGTGGCTTATGATCATTCAGTCTTTTGGCAGCTTGAATTTGGACAAATCACATTGTTAAATAGGCCTGTGTTTCATTCCAGTGAGTTTCCATAAAAATGTTGTAATGACAATGCATATATCAGAAATACATTGAGCCTGTGGTGTTCAGGTGCTGAGGAGCTTGTACTCAGCTGCTGAGTGTGTGAGGTAAAAGGATGGCCTCTTGTGCTGGACTGAAATTTGACCTCAGGCTCCTTCCTGTACCTATGAAAGCAGGAATGAGGTAAAGCTTTCCTCCTAGTGTTCTGAGATACATTTACATCATTCAGGGCTTCAGCATGGAAAATGACTCCAAGGAAGTATTAGAAGGAATACAGCAAGGAGAGATGATCTCTGCATGAGTAGAGGTGTCTTTAAGACATTCCTTTTCCTCCTATCAGCCTCTTGCTGGAGCTGATCATTCCTCCCACAGTGATGTTTTGTCTAAATAGTCCCTTATCAACCTCTGGCAAAATTAACCCCCTTGATCAAATAGTTTTAGTAACTGATAAAAGCAAGCCTGACTGATCATTGATAGAATTCAGTCAGCAGACTCACAGATAATTCCATCCATAAGCTGGAGAGATGTTGGTGAAGAACAGGGACAGTTATCCTTGAGACGTGCAGCTGGATCAAAATAGCATTTGTCCACAGAATTTGGTTAATGCTCTGTACCACTGAAAGGCTCACTGCAGAAGAAACAAAAGAAATAACCTAAATTTTCTGTAGCCCTTTTTCCACCCAAATTTTCCCACGACACTGTTACCTTTAAGTGGGTGCTGAGTTCTGATTACCTTCAGAATTCTCATCTTGGAGTGCCACTTCCCGTTCCCATGTCAGAGAAGGAGGGAATGAGAATGTGGTGCACTATTCTTGGTGGGAGCAGCAGGCAACTACCACGAGTTTGGTGATGGTATCTTTGCGTCAGGCTTGGAATTAAGTGAGGAAAAGTGATTTTGCATACACCAGATATAAGAAACAATCTTTCTACCAATATGGACAGGGCATCTAGGGGTTCAAAAAAGGGTGGAAGGAGTGTGGATATGCAGTTATTAATAATGGATGATTACCCGGAGTTCACTGAAGAAAGTAAAAGTTCTTTATCTGAATTTCAGCATTGTAGGAATTTGATTGTATAACTTCTGTTTTTTGCTACAAATCCATTAAATGATTTTTCCTTGTTTATCATTAGCCTGAGCACCACTGTGTTTGTTAGTGAAGGCCAAGCTGCTTCTGATATTTTAAATAGCTTTTTTGTGACTAATACAAAGAGGCACATAATTAAAGAATTTGTCAAGCAGTCTAGTATGATCAGAATGAAGGCTCTTTTTGTCACATTTGTCTCTTCAAAATTCACAGAGATGATCATCATATATCCTGACAACAGTGCTGCAGCTCTCTCTAGTGTAAGATGTGGTGCACTTTGCAAAGCTTTTTCAGGGGCAGCAATACTGAACTAAGGAAAAAAAAAAGCCAAAACAGGTGGAGAAATAACGGATTTTTATTTTTTTCCTGAACTGACTAGAAATGCAAATCTGTGGTAGAATGAAATTTTCATCAGGCTGGGTAGAACATTTAAATAGCTTTATTAGAGTCAAACAGAAAAAAATGTTTGCAGTTTTACAAAATACTTCCTTCTGATTATTTAATGCCACTTTTTCTACTTTATTCTCTTACCTTTTAAAATTAGTTCAATTGTTTAAAAAATTTCTTTGAACAAAAGCAGAAAGTCAAGTGTTGCTTAAAAGTATCAAACCAGAATGTTTCTACATGTCTGAAATAAGGAATTTAGGGTTGAAAACACTGAAATAAATATGAATTTTTTTTTTTCCCCAGCCAAAGTCACTGAGAATATTTGCCCTAAATGCACAAATAGTTTTGGTCCCCTTAGAAACGTTATTTCCTAGCAGATTTGTAGTTTTACATCTGTGTAGAAAATAATTCCAAAATATTTTGGCAGTAAAGATAAGAAATTAAGTTTATAATTATTCGTTATCTTGTAGTTCATTACTAATTTCTGAGTAGGCAATATTTTGGTCAGGTGAGCATTTCAAGACCGTTTACTTTTGTAAGGACTTTGTAGGTTGTTGAGATTAATCTTCCTGAGGATTCCAGCCACTCTGGTGCCAAGTGATGGGTGAGCTCTGGAGCCTGATCAGCACATGACTGAACTGGCTGCTGGGGTGGAATTAAGGGAGAGCAAGTGGAAAGTGTCCTGTCACTATGCATTTGAATATACAAGTGATTTTGCTTTGCCTGTGTTCATAACCCCTTTACATTCTTTTTATGCTATCTTCCTTGAGCTCGAGGTTTACTGGTATCCAATGTGGATTTAAGATCAAATGCTCTCCAACTGTGAGTTTGCCTAGGCTTGAGAATTCACACAATATTAGGAGCTACACCTGTTTAACTGTGGGATAACACTGGACCACAATTAAGTAGCATAACCAAAAATTTGTCATTCAGATAAACCAGATGTAGAATAGATGGCATTTGCAAAAGGAACATCTGAATTAATACAGATGTGAGAACATCAGGATCTGTTTCCATGAATGGAAGCTGTTCATGACTGTTCACCCCTTGGCAAGAGTGGGAGAGTAACCTGGCAGCATTTTCAGCTAGTGCTCAGTGTCTGATGATTTTCACCATCTGAGGACAGTGAATCAGATTTATGGTACAACAGATGAATAGTTGAATCATGTTTATAAAATGCTAATAACAATGGCTACTGTTTATATGTCTGGCGTGTTTTCTGTTTAACTGCATTGTAAGTCCTTGTTTGATAAGCACAGCCTTATGCTGCACATGTTTCTGTCTAACAGGTTTGCCTGTTTGCCCAGAGCTGACTCGAGAGCACATTCCTAAATCCAAGGACGTGGGACACTTTTTGTCTGTTACTGGGACTGTCATACGCACCAGTTCGGTGAAGGTTTTGGAGTTTGAGCGGAGTTACATCTGTAACAAGTGCAAGCACGTGTTTGCTGTCAAGGCTGACTTCCAGCAGTACTACGCCTTCTGTCGTCCGGCAGCCTGCCTCAATGAAGAAGGCTGCAACTCAACCAAGTTCATGTGTCTCTCTGGAACAACCTCTTCTCCTGCCTGCTGCAGGGACTATCAAGAAATCAAAATTCAGGAACAGGTGAGGGAAAAAAAAACATAGACAAAAGGGGAAGGTATTAAAGTATGGATGTCTACTGTTGTTTAAAACAAATGCCTTAGATGACTGAAAGGAGCCAGGTAACCCATTGGTCAGAGATTTCCTGTCAAAGAGTTAAAAAATAAGCCAACATGTAGACCATACTTCTGTTACTGGGTAATTCTATTCAATATTGTACAAAACACCAGCAGTCAGTGAATAGATTAAATTTCCATAGATGAAATTCCCTTCCACGTTGAATCCCTGTAACACCAAGTGTGCATTTTTCCTCTAAGCACTTCCTGTGCGTGATGCTGATGTTCAACACTGGTTCTGAGGACTAAAGCTAGCCCAATGTTGGCCAGGGCCAGCTGTAGCTGTGCAGTGTGGTCAATACATGGTGTCTGCAAATGTTCTTCCCTTCAGCCAATATTGAACTCCACAATTATTGCATATGTGATCCTTACAGAACCTGCAGCCAGAATTTGTGTTTGGTTTCTGATGGTAGCCCTGGGTGGAAGTACAGACAAGGTGGAGGAGAAATGTGTGAAGTTAGAAATTAAATACTATTAAATTAAATAGTAAGGGAATAAACTTTCTAGGAAATAAGCCCTATATTGCATGAACATATAATGATTGTTTCTGACATATGGAAAATCTCTTTAACTTAGATTTTGTTATGCCCTGTGACACACATATCTCACTGGTAGGAAGCATTTTCAGCAACATGAGCTTGTTAAAAACAGTAAAGTTAAACTAGGAGTGAATTTCCCTTGTGTTTCCTACTGAGCTCTGCAAATAACTGTGCATGTGCCATCAGTACTGACAGTGATGTGAACTGCCTGTGGCCATTTAGATAATACACAAGGGTGAATTAACCTTCCTAGGCACCAGAGAGTGAATACATTTAGAATTCTGGCATGTATGACCTGGGCTGCAGAACGAAAAGGTTCTTCTGACTGTTGTTCTTGTGCAGTGGATACTCTCAAAACTATTGCAAGCTCTAAGTGTAAATGGAAAGATTGCTTGTTGGAAATGGACTGTGACAAGATTGCAGAGACTTTGCCCTGAAGAAAAGAAAAAGAATTACAGGAGTTACTGGCACATTTGTCAATATATATTTGGGGTTTCCTGTTTTTGATTTAATCCTTGGCACCTAAACTTAATCTCAGACTGTCAAGTCATGGTTAAATACCAGAAAAATACAGAGAATATTCATTCAGTATCTACTTCAGTGAAGCGTTATCTAACCCATGCACATGCTTCAGTACCCAAAGTCAACTTTACATATCGAAGAAGTACCTAGTGATAACTCAAACTATAATAAAAATAAAAAAATTAGTCTTTCAAATGACCTCTTTTAGTGAGCTTTGCTTTTTCAGCAAGATATTGAAATCACACAAGATCTCCCAGCACTGAGCACCTTCTGCTAATTTAATACTCAATCCCATTTCCTTTAATATTAGCATTAAACTTTCATTGTTAAGTTCAGGGCAGCATTGGCATCCTTACTGTAAGTTTTGTGGTAAAAAGCAAGAACTGACCTCAGTTCCAGGAAAGGACCACAGGCCAGAGCAGCTGTAAATTGAAGGCTTTTGAAAGGTGCAGTTCTTAAGAAGTGCTTTTCCTTCCCATCCCCTAGGTTCAGAGGCTGTCTGTTGGAAGCATCCCTCGTTGCATGGTGGTTGTTCTGGAAGATGACTTGGTGGACAGTTGCAAGTCTGGTGAGGATATAGCATAAATTACCTATGTCTGTACCCACAAGCATTTTTAGTTTTGCACTTGAGATGAATCTCTGTCAGGTGGCTGTCAGTGGTGGGGGCTCCCCGAATGAGGTGTGTTTGTCTGTCACGGTGCTGTTTCGGGCTGAACATTAGCATGGCAGCTGATGAGACCATTCCAGAAGATGTCATGCACCCCCCATGTCAGCTTACATCTTGACTGTTTGACAGATCAGCATCAATAAGTAATGTGTTGTGACAGACAGGAAGTACATTAAACCTTGTTAGTGTAGAGCACCAAACCTCCCCAGGACATCGGGTCACACAGCGTGAGGTGCCCCTCCATAGGTTCATAGGGCCAGGAAAGCTGACCTCTCTCTAAGGAGTACTGCAGGTAGAAAAAGCTACTTGGCATTCAAAGAAGAAGCTCATTGGCAGGACAATGAATGGAGAATGGACTAAACATTCTCAGATAGGCACATTTCCACAAGAAATTAATTTGTGGTTGTACTTTCTCAGAAGAAAGCTCTACTCAGAATGTTAACAAGTGATTCTGGGGTTCATTCTCCACAAAGGTTACCAGAAGCCAAATAAGTTTTGACTAATTTTTTTTTGTATAATCAATCTAATTGAAAGAGCTTCTACAGTTTGCCAGGAATTCCTCTCTTCTAAAAAAGGAAACGAGCAGAGGTATATCTTTAAGAATTCACCTCCCTTAAACAGAAGTGGAAAGACATAACACTTCCTACCACAGACTTAAGCAATCTACCTTATCTTTGTTTTAGACTTCCAGTAAGTGCAGGAGGTTTTGCTTTTTGTTGTTAGATTTTTTTAACCTTGTTAACTGTAACACATGACCTAGATCATGTTGTTGTGCATTACAGCTAGCTGAAGTGTCTACATGTCTCAAGTCAGATTTTTTTTTTTTTTGTTATTTTACTAATTTTTGTTGTTACCTCTAGGAGATGACATCACAGTGTATGGAGTGGTAATGCAGAGGTGGAAACCTTTCCACGAGGGTGCACGCTGTGACTTGGAGCTTGTTTTAAAAGCCAACTATGTTAAAGTGAACAATGAGCAGCTAGCAGGGGTTGTAATTGATGAAGAAGTTCGCAAGGAATTTGAAGACTTCTGGGAAAGGCATAGGAATGATCCCTTAGCAGGTTAGTGGTTGAACACTTTTAAGTAGGACACTTGATTGGATAGAGATGAAATCAGGAGCGAAAATACAATGACTGAACACATTTTCCCCCCATTATCCTATCTCACCACTCATTCATCAAGAATATATTTTTTTCACTACAAGAATAGAAAATTCTTACTTTAATATTACTGGGATGGGGTGGAAGGAAGTACCAAACCTACTGCATTGATCTTCATCCTCTGAGCTTTCTATTCAAGTCTTTTTTGGAACATTTATTAACAAGAAATGAAAAGGAATGTAAGTATAAGAGGAAAAAAAAAAGAAAAATGTTTTATAATCAAGAAAGAAGTAGCATATTTCTCAGAAGAAATAGTGTGGATCAGATCTGCCTTTAGTCAGCACAGCTGTTGCCTCTGGGGTGAGAGAGCTGACACACTGTCTCTGCATCCCAAATTAAGCTCTACTTCTTTACCGTAGGGATTAGCACATCCCATCTTTAACATAACTCTGGGATGCCTAGATCCTTGAGTTAGGAGCAGGGGAGCCTTCAATTCACAATGGCTTCCAGAACAGTCAGTGTTCAGTATGCTGGCTCCTAAACTTAGCATGGTCCACAGTCAGCCAGCTTGGAATTCCCAGTAGTTCTGTGTGGAACTCTGTCCCTCTCCATAATCTGAGTGCCTTCTCCTCAACTCTGCAGAAGCTCAATGGACTCTTTAGGGTCTCCACCCCTGAACTTTATTAGGCTGACAGTCTGTTTTGTAAAACCCTGCAAAAGGCTTAGTCTTTCTTTTTTAAAGAAAACAGGAGGAAAAGCAGGTGGGAACCTCCCTCAAATGAGCCTGCTCACAATAAGAAAGTGTAGATCCTGTCTATGTTAAAGATTCTTCAAAACTGCATTTCCTGGAAAGCAATTTAATTGCTAGCTTCATGCTGTTTGGAATGATAACATTTCTTCCTTCTGCTATTTGGAATGAGAATATTTCTTATCATTCTCGTTAGAACTGTTCAGAAAGTAACTCAGGACCTTGAAGGTCCCTTTTAATCTTTCATTCTCAGGACAAATTTTGGAAGCCTGCAGAGAGCAACGTGAGTTTATCTAATATTACTCATTCAGAATAAATAAATTTCAAGTGGCTACAAGAAAGTTGAGGTGGAAATTAGAAGGACCCTGACTGCCCAAGGTGTCTGTTTCAGTCAGTTTGTCTGAATTTTAGTTGAAATTGAGGGCAAAGATTAAACCTAAGGAGTCTGAGGCCACAGAATGTGTGTGTCACTTAATGATGCTAACTCCTAACTGTGAAGTTAAATCTTGACTGGTGTGTGGCCGAAAATTTAGTTGTTAAAATTTCACTTTTGGATGGACAAAGATGTGTTAATTCCTTCAAAAGAACTCCAAATGAAGCACATATACCTTAAGTCTTCCATTAGGTCCGTATATTTTGCCAGTACCATGTACTTACATCTAAATTTAAAACATGAAGTTAAGCTCTCAAAATGAGTCACTCTCTTTTATTCCCTAGCAATGGAAGTAACACATGGCATATAACCTGAGACCCCTTATCTGCTGGAGGTGTCAGAATCTCAAAAAACAGAATTAATCCTGTTACATATCTTCCACACCATCAGCATTTTCAGAGCAGATTGAAATATTCTGCTGCTAGAAAGAGACTATAGTAGGGAGGAAGAGACACAGAGGGATCTGTGACACTGGAGGATCAAAGGAGAAGGAAGCTAACAATGAGAAAATAAACACACTATGTGTGCACAGGTTTAAGGCAAAATAAGTGTTAGACTTTTTCTTAAATGTACAACACACAAGTTTTCAAGCGGACATTTGGAAATCTGTAAACTTTCAGGTTTTGTAGCTTCTACACTTGTAAATGTGGAACAAAAGAATTTGCATGATGGCGTTTCATTCCTTAAATTGCAATAGGATTGGCTTTGCTGCTTATGACTGTGACTTACTTAACTTCTGTATCATGAAGGAAGTTTGGATCAAACAACCGCTCTAGGTGCCATTTAAAGAAAAAAAATTTAAAATCTCCTTCCTACCCTACTCTTCTTGCCCAAATTATTTGTCAGTCTACATGGGAGTCCCTGGGAAACCAAGTTTTGACTCTGCTGAGTGCCATTTTTGCTCCTGTTTTAGGGAGGAATGAAATTTTGGCTAGCTTATGTCCTCAAGTTTTTGGATTGTACCTGGTGAAGCTGGCTGTAGCCATGGTGCTTGCTGGTGGTGTGCAGAGGACTGATGCTGCTGGAACTCGAACCAGAGGTTTGTATTGTTTCTAAAAGTATCACATCCTTTGTAACAATCATTCCCATCCCTGTCCTCACCCACATCCCCCCCACCCTTCCAAAATCAAACCAGTAAGAACTTGGAAGCACAATCATCCCATTTTCTTGAGTGAGAACAAGTTTTAATCAATTTTGACTATTCTTTGAAAATCTCAGACAAGTTAAAGTGGGTGTCTAGACTTCCTCTTTTTACTTAATTTTTCCCAAATAAAACCCAATAGAAGCAGACTTTTAGGTTTCCATTAGGTAGAATATTAAAGGCAGCTATTTTATCTGAAACATCTCACTTTTTATTGTAAAAGTGACATTTTGAATTTATTTCTAGTAGAACATTCCCAGCAGTATTTGGCATCAAAGGATGGAATCTTAATGTTTCCTTAATATGGATCACTATAGTATGTTAAAAGGAAAAATTAAAGGATTAATTTCACTTCCTAATGCCAGACTTTTCCATCTGTGATTGTCACCACATCTCACTTAGTCTTGTAACTCCAAGTTACCTGCCTGCTGATTTGCCTTCTGTTGTTGTTAGATGGCAAATATGCCATGTGCCAGGTGGTACACAGGTCATAATCTATGTAGGTCATAATAATTTTTAAAAGTATGTCTCTATATACAAATGCAGGATTTCTTAATGCTCTAACAGCTAAAAAAACTTATAGACTTTATATTTTAATTGAAATTGGATTTTGTAGAAAACAGTGAAAAAAATTTAGAGCACTACTGAGATTGTAGCAGATGAATTATTTACTTCTGTAATTTCATTGTTGTGAAAAGACAAAGTTGTGTAACTGTTGGCAAAGAATTACTTAAGCAAAACAGCCTGCTGATTTTATTAGTCCATTTTGCAATAATTTAAATAACTGAATAGTGGAATGGTAACTAAAACCTGATATCCTTCTGTTTCATATTCAAGAATGAACTGAGTCTGAGAAATGAGCATTCTAAAATCTAAGAACTCATATTACAGGAAGTGTCAAATACCTGCAAACACTTCACAAATACTCAATTGTAAATATTTGTGTCTAGATGACTTTATTAAAAATGTATTTATCACACCAAATAAATAGTGCAGAATTACATATTTTAATGTATATATAATGCTAAATTTTAGATGAATATGACAAGTATTATTTAATCTGAGCATTTTGTGTCAATGTTTGTCTGTATATTAACTGCCTACTCCCACATCACTGTTTTCCCCCAAGGTGAATCACACCTTCTGTTGGTTGGAGACCCAGGTACAGGGAAATCTCAGTTCCTCAAGTATGCAGTAAAGATTATGCCACGCTCTGTGCTTACAGCAGGAATTGGATCCACAAGTGCAGGTATGTGCTTCTTCAGCTGTAGCAGGTTATCTCTCACTCAAGTATGTTTGTATAGAAGCCTTCATGTATGTGAACATATGTGCTCAGGTTGTTGTGAGCACAGTTGAAGCAGAGAACTGCTGTGGGGGCATGTGAGGCCTGGTCTGACTCTCTGCAGTCCCGCCTCTTTGTCTGTATCCCTGACGGACTGATGAGCTTCTAGCAGGGAGCCTGACAAGCCTCATCCAGAGACACCTCTCAATGCTTTGCTAGCAGAGAGTGATCTGAACCTGTATTTTTAGCATTTCCCAGCTATGACAAATATGACATCTTTCCAGAGCTCACGCTGTGTGATGAGCTAGCGTCATTTGGTTTCTCCTGAACAGATAATCTCCTCTCTTCTGTTCTTTTATGTGTTCTGTCTGGTGCCAGTTTGATTTCTGTTTGCTTTCTGGAAATTCACCCCTCTGTTGAGGAATTATTTCTTGCTCATGAAGATGGTTTTTAAATGGTTTCAGAGAGCAAGTGGGTTTTTTTCTTCTTTTTTTCCTCTTTCTTCCTTTTGTTAAATTTAGGCATGTCCCAGCTGGCTCTCAATGCTAGCCATCTTTGCAAACTCTTCTGGGACAATGTACAGGGTCAGATTACCTCTGCCAATGACTTTATTTGAACAAATGAATATACTACTTGTATGTTCAGAATCACAAAATAATTAGGGTCAAATCCCAGTGCCTCAGCTAGCATGTGTAACTTGAATATTCCTTAGAGAGTGCTGCTTGTCATTGTATGTCTGGGAAATAGCATTATTTGTACATGGGAGAACCAGAGGATAAATCTTCCCTAGCTATGTATATACTGACTCTTCCATAGCTGTGGAGGTTGAACATGATGTTGAACATGTACACTCCTGTGTGCAGGGAACTTGTTATGAAACACATATGCCTCTGACTTTCCAATCAAACTGTTAACAAATAGGTCTGGAGAGAAGCCAGAGAGAAAATTTTGGCTTAGCAAAATCTTTTCTCCACTTTTTGTTCTGTGTTAAGAATTGAGAACAGTCTGTATGATTTCAGATTTGCTAGGGGACTCGCAGTGACCTGGAGTGCAATTTTGCCATGTATTTCAGTGTGACTTTGCCCATTTTTGTAAGAAGTGATTTCCTGTGTCCGTTGCTCTCAGTCTCTGATGTTGCTGTTGCCTTCTTCACCATGTCTCCCTCCCATGCGTCATCTTCCTGATCTGAATATGATCTGATTTCCAGCTCAGCCATGATGGCTAGGTTCAAAGACATGTCCCTGAAGACAAATATTGCTTACTGTGGTATATGTGCACTAATGATGTGTGGAGATAAAGTTTCATCTCATTAGAGGATTGTCTTGGGCCTTTAAATCATCCATATTTCACTTAAATATTCCTTATTTTTAAAAAACTTCTCTCTCAGTCCCTTTTTCCAAATCTGACAGCAGCACCAGATTTGTACTTTAGGATTCTTCAGGACCATTATCACAAGTGAAACTTGAGTGCCTAGCAAGGAATCTTATTAATCTAGTTTAATTTCAGGGAACCTTTCCATGGCTAGAACTGCTGGACTAAGGTATTAATTTCTAGACCAGGAGTTTGGATGTTGTTTGAATTACTATTTTCTTTGCCTTTCCTGTGCAAGGACTGTCTTATGAATACGCTTGTAGCTAGCTGCACCTAACATTGACTTTTGTAAACTTGCTCTCTGTGCAGAAGCTTCAAATTAGTTTGGAGAACTATTAAACTGCTTTACTTTCTTGTCATAATTGAACACTTTGAATTACCAGTTTCTGCTTTCCCATGAGAGGACAGCCCTAATGCACATTCTTCCCTCCAGTTTATGAATATTAAATATCTAAGTTTCACTTTCAGCTAGTTCCTTGCTGTATATAAAAAGCAGTCTGAATTGCATTTAATTGCTGGTTCTGGTATTGCAGTCCACATGGCCAAAAGACACACCTGAGACTGGGTAAACCCTAAATAACTCCTAAAAGCTGGGGTCCCTCTTTTAGAGAAAACTGCCGGTATCTCACCAGCCTTTAGTAAGATTCTGTGTACACTGACACCTTGTGCCCTTTACCCATCTGGTACTGGTTTAGGACACAAGCTATTTAAGCATTGAATTAGAATTCTGTATCCCAAAATGTGTCATACTAGTTTTACTTGGTTTTCTGTACAAGTATTTATTTGTACCAGGACAGCATATTAGGTCATTAACATTCTCCTTGTGCCAAAATTCTCTTTCTTCCCTGGTATACCTTGGGCATCACCTGCTCTGAGATCCACTATGATACTTTGTGTCCCTGCAGTATCATGTGCCTGCTGCAGTCCATTAACCCCTACCTACGTGACTGGAATTGGCTTGTAGAATTTCAGAATAGAGTGGCCTAACTCCTGCAGCTTAATTTGCTGTTGGGCCTCTGCTTTTTCAATCAGGTTCCTGCCTTCCCCTCCACTTTCTAAACAAAGTCTGTGCTGTTTTACCTGATTCAGAAAGTACAACCCAGGAGAAAACCCTGCTTTCTTGCTGAAGGTTTGGAAGACCTTCATCTTTCTATCTCACCCACAAGCTCAAGTTGCCCGCTTGCTGCAAACAGCCCTTAGAAGTGACAGATAATTTGTTCTCTGTTTTGAAAAAAACAGAACTTTACCTCCACTCAGTAAGTAAGTTTCTGAGCTTACTTATTTATTAAGTTGCCTTTCTTTCAAACACTTAGCAGAAGTTTTCTGTTGCAAATTCTCTACAAGTTTAGGACTTATATGAGGAACCGGGGTTTGTTCCTCCCACATCTCTTTAATGACAGTTGGCAGGCAGACCAGCCCACACACAACAACTCCATGGTAAGAATTTATTTGACCACTGTAGGACTTTGTGATCTGTAAATGAAAGATGGGGGAACCATCTGTCCCACTGTTTCGTTCTGTCTACACTGGTTTTTTACAGGCCCAGTTCATTCTCCCTGACTTGTGTCTTGTCGGAGAATCACAGGGAGTCACTCAGCTACCTTTTATTTTTAGAAATTGATACACAGTTTTCCATAAAGATAGAGACTTAGAGAGGCTTAGCAAGATCTCTCTGGGAGTTCTCACCTTACTACTGAGTTAAATAAACTGTTTTGCAGGCCCCAGAGGCACAGTGCCGCTTATGTTTATTTGGATGAGATAATCGCTAGTAAGAAAACATTTCATTTGCCTCTGGAGCTTGAGATTTGCAGTGATCGAATGGTGTGCAACAGGAACCAACACATGCAGCAGCTGGCAGCTCTGGAGCTCATGGACATCCAGGACTCAGAGTCATTCTGCTGCTTGCTAGTGCATATTTGACTGTTCACACTTCAGAAAATTTTGTTTGGTGTTGCATCCCTCCACAGATTGATTGCTTAAAGAATTTTGTGAACTGTTTTTAAAACAGCTTGCCTAAAAATCTGGGAGACTATCAGCTGTTTCTCCAGCTCTCCAGTTCTGTATAACATGCCTTTCTGAGCTGTGTGACATGCACCCTTATGGCCTCTCCTCTACAACCTCTGCAGAGCCTTGCAAGTACTTCCTTTTGCTGGTATTTTGTCATGTGTAACACTGTCCATTCATGCCAACAGCAGTTTGCTACTGATTTCCTTTCTTTTCATTGAAGGGAACTGACTGGAGGGAAACCACCCCATTTCTTCTTTCATGGTAAGCTTTCCCCTGCTAGGCAGGCTTCAGGTGCTAACAGCTGTCTCTCTTCTGATCCATTAGAAACCAATCCAAAGCCACTGACATGAGCCATCCAGCTGTGGTTATAAATAGATTACATGGTGTCAGTATCCTGAGGTATGCAAGACTCTGAAACTGGAGATACTTTTCCCTCTGTGTAGATCTCCAACTGTTCCTGTGCCTTCCCTAGTTGACATAAGCCAAAGTAGTGCCAGGAAACCATTTTCCACCATGGATTCATACCCTGTCCCTGATAAAGTTATTAATACAGATGCAGTATTAATTAGGTTGTCACTTTCTCTGATCATCACTTCTACCACAGGATTGTTTTCCTGAATACTTAAAATTGTACATGAACTTGATCAGTATGTAACCTGAAAATATTTTCTTGAGGGTGGCTTCACTGGCTGTTCCTTCAACATCTGGGCCTCAAGTTGGAAAGCCTTTAGCTCTATAGGAAGTCTACTAAACTTGTTGAAGAAATGAAATTTGAAGCTGTGATCAAATATTGTCATACATGCCCCATCTGTAACAATGTCCCACTTCTTTAGTTCCCTTAATTTCTTCTCAATAATGCTGTTCCAAAATGGCTTTGTCCTGGGAGAGCTTACCTTGTCTACCTGCATGACAGAGATTATTTAGCCCAAGAGATACCAATCTTCAAAAATTTTGCTTTTTTCAAACAGCTATATATCTGAAGGCCCATAGTTAGTTTGGATGGGAAATACTGCAGGAACAATATCTTGTCATGTTGGTTGAAGGTTTCAGGTCTTACACACTTCTAACACCTCCAGGCCAGCCTTCATCAGACTTTTTCATCCTGCTGTTGAAATGGCAGGCATTTCAAGCAGTTGATTTTTGGATGAATAACAGATATCTTCAGCATTTCCTTTACCATACTGTGAAGCCCGTCCTTCTTTCCAGTTTGTTTCTGCCCCACCCTCCTAGTGAGAAAGGACAAACTGGAAGGATACCTTTATTTTGAAAGGATGGCCTCCTTATCTCATGGGGCCAAGGGAGTTTTGGAGGGAGACCAGAGAACTCTGTAAACAAGGTTTCTGCCAGTTCAGTTCATCCAGTTTTTAACACCTTAACACTGCTGGTAACATGCAGCTGTTGTTGCTTTCATCTGGTGTAGCACACACACCTCTTTCCTCTGACTTTCTCTTGTCTGCAGTCATACCCCTTAGGCCATGGACAGTGAGTACCCAGCCATGCCTCCAAAACTGCATTACCTAAAGCTGGAAATGTTTAAATGTATCCTCCCTCCATCTCCCCCTGCAACGACCCCCTAAGTTCCATGTAGAAGCCTTGGGTTTGCCTTTAAGAAAGGCCTCCTAGTGCCTCCAGCTGGCTCTTCCTTATATCATTTTTGCCCAGACCAAAAATTAAGGAAAAAGCTCTCCATCCATCTTCTCCAGCACTGGTCTCATATCACACACTACAAGACCAACTTTTAAGCAGAACCATAACTGGAAACAGAAATGGGAGTGCCTAGGAAGAAGAGTTCCACACAAACTGCCAGGCCTTACACGTAGTTGTCAGTTTTGCTGCATCTTCCTTGCTGGCACTTAGCAGAGCCCCCCAGCCAGCAACCACAGCAACAATTAACCCATCATCTCCTGACCAAACTTCTGTGGCTCTCAAAGAAAATTAGATCATCTGTACTCTTGCAGATGGATAAGGAGTAGGGTAGTTAGGTACATGAAGGATCTGCAGCTGTCCAGACAGAAGCCAGAAGATTTAACTTTGCCCTTTTCTGTCCCTGATAAATGAGGATTTGCCAGGAGTATACATGCATAGCACGTTCAGGGCTTTTCCCTTTTCCTTCCTACCAACATTTTCAGATGTCAGTGGACAATCAATCTAGCTACAAGTGGCTACCTTTCAATCTGAGCTGACTTCCAGAAAAGCACCAGCTGAGGCACTGCAAAGAAAATAATGGACTGTCAGACCACCAGATTTGTGACTTTGTCACTCCCATCTCAAGAATACAGTGTCTGGTAAGCCATAAACTGTGGTTATTGTAGTAAAGCTCCAGGTTGCTTCATTGTTGAAGATTGGTAGGTAGGGTTGGCTTTTTCAGTGGAGCTTTGTAAAGCTACTGGAAAGATGAAATTTCACTAGTCTCCATTTTGATGGAGTTGGAACCATTTTGCCTCCTTCAAATTGAAGTGTCATAGTAATTCAGATTGAAGGTGATGCCTGAATAAATCAGTGACTATAAGCTGAGGGAGAACTTTTTTCCAAGCTAGACATGAAAACCACACACATTTTTCATCCATGTTACCTTGTCTGATCCGCTTACTTCTTTGTACATTAATAACAAATGACAGTCTTGTAATGGTCTGCCTGCCTGAGATGAAAACACAGTGAGATACATCACCGGTCCTGTCAGCAGAATCTGTAGCATTGCTTTGCATCTTGGTGGCCTCTTCAAGTAAAAGTTTGTGGCAAAGTGAAAACATCTTCAACCTTGAAATTGTAATGCTGTGATGTCAGCACTGGTTGGCTGTGCACAGACCTGCAGTTTTAAAATGTTCAGAGATCAGGGACAAGTCTTTACAGATGCCCTACATGCATTCTATCTTTTAATACCAGTAAGTTTGTGCTGTGATATTGCCTGAAGTCTCTGGGGGACTGGAAGTTGGTTCCTCAAATTCTTTGTCTCTGGAACATGATTTTGTCAGGAAATACGATACTCAGAAGGCAGGGTGTATGGATTGCTAAGATCTGCCAAAGTTGCGAAGACCTGAGGGACCCAGCCTCTCAAAAACCACAGAAATGCCATTTATCTTGCAAAGTTCATGAGGTAGGGTTGTTTGTCACCAATTTTCACCAAGCACAGCATTATTTTTCCTGCTGTTGGTGGGTCAGTGCTATCCAAGCCACATGAGTGTATGAGGTAAGGTGGTGCCAAACTTTACTGCAGCATCCTACCACAGTGAAGCCTGAAGTTTATAGCACCCAAGTTCTCATGCACAGATGACTTCTTAAACTTTTTAGACTGACAACAGAGCTTCACTTTTCCATTCCTCTAAATTAATTGGTTTGCTGGGTGACATAATTTTGCTGCCTAAATTTTGTAGTTGGTTTTGCAGTAGCAGCAATAATGGGTTGCTTCCATTGCTTTGTGGCATATGCTTCTAAAAAGCCTTCATGCTACCAGTGGGATGGGTTCTGGTTACAGCCTGTGCTTGGATCATGTTTTCATTTGAATACTCAATAAAGGCAAGGGTTTGAGATACTACTACAGTAGCCTTAATTTGAGGCAGACTTCACAAGCCTGTCAATCCTTCAGCAGATAACCAAGTTATTTACATGCTTACATTTATGAGCTATCCTAAATAGACTTATAAATAGAACATAAAGTGCATGAAAAATCTCAAAATGTCACTGCAGGCCTAAAAGTTGCAATATAATTGAAAATCAAAGATAAGGTTCACAGAATTTCAGCCCTCAAGTGAAGTAACTGCTAGTTCAGGGAACCAGTTTTTTGTGTTAAGTCCTGCCAATGAGTGTTAATATTTTTAGATTTCTGGTTATCACTTTAAACACTTAGAGAGAGATTGTTAAGAGCACATATTAGAACTAGGCCTCCAAAGATGAATGGATTTCATTAATTCATTCATCCACCCTAGATGTGTACTGCTGAGTTTCCATACACAAAAAACATTCAGATCAGGCCATTCCTTTCCAGTTTCAAAACCACACATTTGAAATGCAGACAATTTCACTAATGATGTGGGAAGACAGAAGCACTGTCTTCATCCCATTAGAGAATGCAGAAAGAGAACAGCAAGCATTCTGTATTTATTCAGAGCTACACTGTTAATCATCATGAAATGTGCCTTTTTTTGAAGGGCCCAGAACCTACAAAGGTTCATAATTTGGGCAGTGACTAGTAAATAGAACTATATTCCTGTAATCTGGCATGACAGATTACAATTTAAATGCACATACAGGCACAGTAAATATAAATAAGGCTAATGAGGATTGGAAGGAATAACTAAATTCTTAAGTGTCATAATAATGGTTTAAGTCTTGACAGGTTACTGCTTAGTTCCTTTTATCTTCAAGGATGCTTCCGGTAATAGGGATGTCTCACTGCAAAAGCTTCAAGGCAAGTAATGTATTCTTGAGTGTCTCATGCCTGCCACAACAGGGTTTATACCAGTAAATAGGATTGCCTTAAAGGCTAGAGAGAAAACAGAGAAGTTTAAAATTCCAGGTGTTTTCAAAAAAATGGAAGAAAACACCCAAACTCCTTACTACTACTGAAAAAAGCTACAATAAAGCATGCCTGAAAACAAACATACTAACCAGTAGTGATCCATAATAATCTTACAGAAGAGCATATTTGGGATATTCACACTATTGCTTTTGAGGCTTAGAATCTTCCAGTAATTGCTTGCATCCTTCCAACCACTTGCATATGCTATTAGGGTAGCATACCTTCCTGAAAAAAGGCTCTGTCCTAGGTACCCACCCCAATTCACACGAAACACTGTCCTGAACAAAACCACAGTTTGACTAAACAGCAGCAGCAAGAGATTTAAAAAAAAAAAATCCTAAAATCCAAGACAGCAGATGGTAAATCTCAAATTGCAGGCTTTAAGTAACAAGTATGTGCCTTGAAAGGAAAAGAAGCTTGCACCTAAAATTATACTGTGCTGTCTGCTTTCAGAGCAAAAGGACATTTTTGGACTTTGTTATTAAGAGATACTTTCTTTCTCTGCACTTCATCTAATGACAATTTTGTTCTTAAGATGCTATTAAAGGGCACTTTATATTTGGCAATCTGGATAGCAGAGATGAGGACATGGCACTATTCCTTCATTTTGCCTGAATTTTTAACTTTTAAACTTTTTTTAGCTTTTAATAGTGCTTACAAAGTAAGGGGGGAGGGGAGAGAATACATATACTTTAATCAGGTTTGGTTTAGACCACATAGAATAACACATTAGAAAAAAAAGGCAATTACTTAAAAATAGTTGTATTTATATTTCACAATCTGCTCAAATACTGTTTGTTTGTTGGGTTTTTTCTGGGTTTTTTTTTATAAACTTTCTACAGGATGTTTTAAAACAAGTTCTTCACATTGCTTCAACTATGTACTTATGGAATTTGAGGGAATAGTTCTGGTTGTTTTTACAGTTTAACACATATACAGTACCAAAAGGATGGTGGTTAGTCACATGCAGTCCATATGAGATTCTAACATAACATTTAGTGAATTTTCTGATGTTGACCACCCCTTTGATGCTGAAGGTAATGCATCTGTGGAAAGCAAGGACTGTAGATTTGGGTTACTGCTCTCTGCATCTTCCAGTTTTTCAGTGTTGTCCTCCCAATTAATGTGGAATCTTGTGACTCTGGGATTAGATGCCAAAATATTCCTTTGAAGCTGGGAAAGAAGAAAATATATGGATTGTAATGCGTACATCTAAAACTGGAGTTCATATGCATATAGATTTTTTCCTTTTAGTCTCTATAGCCTTGTTTGCTTAACAGTTTGTTTAAAAAGGGAATTCACATCAATGTGAATCTATAGCTACTACCTATGGATCAGAAATGTGCTTACAGTACATCACTTATTATTTTCCCTAATATTCTCCTCAGCAAAATAACCACTTTCTCAAGAGTGTTTTAACTGTTCTGCAAGGTCAAGGCTGTGAAAGAGATCCACAAGTAAAGTGCAAGTGTTTATTATTTTATCCAGCTTTTAGTAAAGCAAATAACTTCTACCCCCACAAGGATTTTGCAAACCACAGTACTTCATCAAATTTTGCATCAACATTATGGTATTTGCAATACCTATCAATTCCATCAACTTCTCATCTTCATTTAAAAGTACAACCTTATCTTTAAACTAGCACACTTCAGACTGATTTCACTAAGAGGATTTATTGACTAAAGTTTTAAAATAAAAACATTTATATTTCGAAAATACTAATACTGTGTCAGTGGACATGATTAGTCATCTATCTTATTCTCATGGCTGGCCTTCATTTTCTTTTGAAAACATGTGGCATTTGTTTATGAATCCAGAAAAAAAAAAAAAAAAAAAAAAAAGCTGATTTTCTCCTTATTTTGAAAAGGGGTGAAAGAGTATATATTCTTACCTGGAGGATGGCAACTTAGAGCCAGTGGGCACTCACTATGGTATTTCAGAGTGATCACAGGAAAGGTTTGCTTTGTCCATTTTATTCTCCAAGAAAGTATACTCTCATTAAGTATTTCCTGACCCTTTACACTAACTAAAAAGACTATTTATTTTTTAGAAGCTGGTTAGAGCTTATTGCCCAATAGTTAATCAATCACTTCAATAACCTTCTACTTGTGCACTTCCATTTTTTCCCCAAGTCACATTAAGGACTCTATACAAACATATGATAGCTTTTGCTGTTCTCTTCCATAGCAGCAAAGCTAGATTTCATATAAACAGAGAATGAAGATAAGTAGTTCTAGGCATTCTAAATTCAAGTGTTTATAGGGAGTCACCATTTTGGCTCTGGTAACCAACATAACAAATAAGTTATGTTTTAAGTGAAAGAAATAAAGAAGAAAGGAACATACGCAAAGTTTAAGAATCCTCAAACTTTACTATAATTTTCAGTAATTTTTTTTAGTACCTGATCACTGAAAATAAAATTAAGCATAGAAAAATGTACTATTTCATTTCATCTTTTAATTCTAGTCCTGGTTTAATTATTACCATGAAGAATATATGTTTTTATAACTTTATCTGTATATTTCCTTTGTCAAATTAGACATTTATCAGATAATGATCTAACCAGGTTCCCATGTTCTCTCATTTTGCACGTAATTTGTTCCTCAGTTTGTTTGTTAAAGTTTTGCAGAAACTGTAGCTCTGGCCCTAGAACAGCTGAGTAACAACTGTAGTAAATAAATATCTACAACTTAGTTCCAGGTTGATGGGCTTAGAGAAACATGTTTTTCTGAAGAACACGGCCATTTTATAAACAGTGGTGCAGGTGGGAATAAATCCAATAGTTTATTTCACAGTCAGTGTGAAAGTACAGCCAAGTCTTCAGGATGCTGGAAATTTTTGATGGTCTCTCAGTATTCACTAAATTTATGACAACTACATGGCACTTGCAGTCTGTCCCCCCCAAGTATTTTCCATTATTTGATGCCTCATTCCATGCACTTAATGAAACCACTTGGGGCTTGGGTTTGTTTCTTAAACACCTTTTTCTATAAGCATACCTCTGACACATGACTAAAACAAAACATGCCTTACCTTAGAAAAATCTGGCTTTACTGGTGGATTCTCTCTCAGTTCTGTTTCAGTGTATTCATTGTTTACATAGTAGCCGACTCTAATAAATTCTTGACCTCGGTAAGTGCATGTAATTAGCACAACTGTTACACCTACTGCATCTGCATCTGGAATAAGCCCTGGGTTAGGTGCATCAGCCTAAATGTGAAAGGGAAAGATAAATTAAAATTGATAGCACATGCCTACCTAGCAGGGGACTCTCAAGTAGTGTGTTTCAGCAGCTAAGTAGTGACTATATTTAAAATTGTTCAAGTTAACCAGAAAATATACTGCTTTCACAACATCAACTCTAGATTTAGAACACCATCCTCCAACGACAGAATTGGAATACAGTAAAATTGTTTGCTGACATTTCTCATGGGCAAATGGCCAGGTTTGATCCAAAACTCCTTTTAAATATATGATCAGCTGAACCATTGTTCACACAGGGGTATCAACATCACTCCAGTTCTACAGTGCCACAGTTCTCCAGCCCATCTTGATAATTTAGTAGAGCAAGATTATTTTCTCATACACCCTCAAGGTTGAATTGGTCTGTATGTGTGCTCTTTAAGAAGACTATATCCTTAAAACTAGACTGCAAATTATAGTTCAGCAAGAAAAGGGATGGGCTATGGTAAGGTTTGAGCTGTTCCACAGATTTCTAGGAAAGGAATTAAGAACTTTCTCTGGCTTCATTCCTAATACCCATATTCATTAAAATTTATGCCGTTAACTGCATCATCTCTCCAAGACACCTGAACATTTTCTACCAGTAGGCAAACCTAATTAATATGCAACTGATACAATCTTCCTCAGTGTCCTTACTTACCATGGCTCTGCAGTTACTTATCAATAAAATTTGCCTCATAAAATGTGGCTCACATCAGTCCCTTAAAATGCCTCCTAACTACCACATCTATTGATAAAATGTGATGCCCGATTCTGCTGCAGGATTTAAAGTAACAGCAACACAAGTATAGTAAAACAGCTTCATATTTACAATTCCACATGAAGATCTGAAGTCAACAGTGAACACCCATGTTGTGAGAACAAGCTGGTATTAGTAATGTGTGTTCAGATGGTTTGGGTGTAACAAACCTTGCCTAATGACAGAGGATGAATGGAATGAATGCCTGTTGTCCCTCTCATTCCTACTTTTCTATAGTATTTATATGCTTCAGCATGGTGAAATTTGGGAGCTGCTGCTCATGCAGCATTGGCATCTACTCTTTGCCACTTGAATTTTAAGCCTTCAAACCAGTCTGGCTTTTTGTGAGAAGCTGTAGGCACTTCACACAAAAATTAGATGAGTCAGACCTCTCGGGTAGAAATACACCCAAGGGATGAGAAGAAACCAGGGAATCAGGTAGAACTCCTCTTCCTCCAGCCCTGAAGGAAATAGAAAATGACTGAATGGCTTTACAACTAGCATAGGGGAATGGAAAAGATGGCCAAGAAACAGAAAAAATGCAGAAGCTTGAGGAAATCACAAGAACTGCCAATACAGTTTACATCATTACTTTAACTCAGTAGTCTTGTTCTAACAGTGCCCAGAACTATCTGATCACTTTAAATTTCACAGTAATGGGCAACAGAAGAACCACATTCTGTTTAACTTCCCATTAAACTCAACTCCCATTCTAATGTAAGATCTTAGTCTTCCAGGTTCCCACTGTCACTTTCTGTCTTGTAATATCCTGTGACACAGTTCTGAACCCAAGGAAATACTCTGTTCTAATTCTACTTATCTCTCAAGCATTGTTTTGCTGCATGAAAAAGACACTGAAGACTGATTAAAACAGTTTTTTCAGATTTTTAGCTCCCTGGTTTTGTCTAACTCCTTAATTACTCAGGAACCAAACATCATACACAGATGGCAGAAAAAAAACAAGAGCTTGGTATGACCAAATGATAAATAAGCAGATTACCTGCAAACAGATATTTTGTTGGACAGAGGCAGTAGATTAATTTTTGCATAAAAGGCACTGTCTTAATATGCCATAATTATGCTATAAATTACTCAAGAATTCGATGAAATCAGCCCACATGTTGCCTTGAATTATCTTGATTTTCCACATGATATTTATTCTCATAGCTATTCCTGCAGAGTAGGTAGCAAAGGTTATATGTGCACTTAAGGATAGTAAATTATTTATGTGCTTATATGCTCAAAAAGAAGTTTCTGTGATTTTATTACAAATTCCCATGAGAATCGAGAAGGAATCAGGTTCCACTATGTATATCTTGAGATTTAAAAATAAATAGGCCAAGCTGTGGGCCTTTACTATTGAAACCTTTTTAAAGGTAATGTTCTGGGGGTTTAAACAAAAAGCTGTTTTTCTAAGTCTGAAAAGCACATTAATTGTCCATCTTTCTGTAAAGCTGAATTCCCAACCTGTTTCACATATTTTTTCATCCAAGGTATTTTTGTCATCCTTGGTTATCTATCTGTGTGGTACTCCATTTTAGTTGCTATTTCAGCCATTTTCCTATCTAGAAAAATCTACAACAGATTATCTGAAAATTTTATACTCCTCTGCAAAGGTCCTTTCCTTATGCTATTCCCCATGAACACAATCTCTTTTCTTTGTGTCACATGCCTCCTGCAGTTCTGTGCTTTGCCCTATTCTTGCCTTCCCTTGCTTGTTTTCTCCGTATCCCAGGCTGCTTCAGCTTGGTGAATAAAATTGCTTCAGTCATCAGCAAAGGCTTCTTGCAGCACTTTGGGTTTTGGTGGTTTCCTGTGTACACATGTGCTGAGTCCTACCCTCACCTGAAATCCAGAGCCTTTGAAGTGTAATATACTCAGACCCAACCATGCTTCCGTAAGAAATAAAAAGTATATTTTAACAGATGGAATCTCTTACAGGACCTACTCCAATCTAAGCAAAATCTCTACACATCTCCTCCTAATTTAGCTTTAGTGTCATTTATAACCACAATACAATTACTGAGTCCATTCTACAGAAACTGCAAGACCAGTAAATTTAATTTGAGACCTGCCTAATCATACAGCCAAAACGTGCCTTTTTTAGGCCCCTGCTTCTTGCTCCTTTCCCATCACCATCAACAAGGAATCTTTGGACCTTTGATTGAGAACAGTGCATCTTCAAATTAGAAATGTAAATGCCAGCTGATTTTCCACCATACAAACACAAGGTAGCCCCTCTGAGAGCAATAGAGGATCACCTATTACTGACCAATTAATGCCATAAGCTATAATGGCTTGATAATGGAAAAACTGTTAATAAATGATGCATTTGTTACACATCTGCTTTATCTGTAGTGTGAAAAAATTAGGCCTGGCTCCAAAACCAAACAGAAATGTTTCAACACTGATTTGGATGTATGTGGTTAATAAATGCTGCAACAACCAGTCTAATCCTATCCTTAAGCCTGTTCTTTAAGGAAAAAAACCAAAACAAAAAGGCCCAGAATCAACAACAAACAAGCATCCACAAAACGCCAAATAAACTACCCTTCCTGCAACTTACAGAATTAATCAGGATTGCCTCACAAATGTTGGTATTATTTTAAACCAGTTACAGCAACCATGAGAAATAAGGGAGTCAGCACTTCAGTGTTCTTTAATGCTCATACTTCAGCATGCATTTGCCATTAGTTAAGTGAATTTATAATATTTGGGGAAAAAAGCAGAGTTCTTATACAATAAGATTTACTCAGTTTCTGTCTGATTTTTTTATCCCATGGATTTTGCTCTCAGTTTACAAAAAAAAATAAAAATCTAGTACTTCATAGAGAAAATGAGTTTTAATAAAAATTATAGTTTTGAATAAATAGACTAACAAAAACACGCCACCACAACAGAAGTTACCCCAAACAAAAGAAAGCTTCTGTAAGAATTCAGGCAAGTCTACTTCAGGTTTTCCTCCCTGCTTCTCACTGAGTTAAAATAGAAACAAGTCTAGGCCAGTAAGTCATCTTAGTGTTGCTCTTTCCCTGTTTTCTTTTCCTTCGTTATTCCTTATTAACTTTTGGCATTAACAGCAGTATTTTATAGACTGTCACATGTTCTAGACTTATTTTTGCAGTCTTGACCTACACACTTGTGTACCTCCCATTTACCAGTGAATTTCTATCTTTATTTTAGAAATCACTGTATTTTGTTATGATTTAGCATGCTTAGCCAAACATCACAGCTGACCATGTGTTCTGCCAAACAGAAACAAATGTCTTGATTATTCCAGCTGAGTTTTTTCAATTAGTTTGTTGGTCTGATCCTCTGAAGGTGTTGTGTACATTAACCTAGTGCTCCTGATTGTCTGAAACTGCTACCAGCAGCAGAAGAGGTGAGCCTGATGGGGCTGGTGTAAACCAGGCACCTGGCACTGCTGATTATGAACCAGACTGGTTAAAATTATCAGTAGCTATGGGAACTGTGCTTTTATCAGTTATTACTGATACCACAAATAAAAAATATAACCAAGCAATATCAGAGGCAAGAAGTACAAGCTCAAGAACAGACTTTAAAGGAAGGTATATCATACCTGAGGGGCTCACTGCAATATTTTTTCACCATTATTTTTCAAGTGCCTAAATTAGCACAACTTTTAGAAAGAGTTAAATCAAACTTACCTGAAATACAAACATGTGTCTGCCTGCAGGAACAGGTCCAACTAAAACAGAGTCTAACACCTGATCATACTCTTCACTTTCAGCTGAACCCACATAAATTATTTTCCATTCCAAATCTACATAAAAAAGAAGAAAAAAACAAGCATTATTTGTCATTACAGTTAGGGGGTCTTCCACTCTTGCCCATCTACAATTTTGCATAGCCTAAAATTACTTCTTTGGCAACAAGCCTAAAATAACAGGGACCTGTCTTCATCAGAAAAATTTACTGATGCCTGACCCTCATGAAACAGATCATCCCACTTTCTCTCTCTAGTCAGATGTACCAAAGGAATCCCTCTATTTTTACAGTGAGGTTAATTTTCAAAGTTCATACAGAGAGTAGGACCCTTTTACCAACTGGGAGCTGTGTTGAGCATCTTCTCAAAGTCTATCAGAATTTGCAGCAGAGGGATGATACCTATAAATCATCACATCCTTGAATACTGACTAACCTCCCAAAACCAAAATTCCCACCTTGCACATACACACCTCACAGCTTAAATTACAGAGATCATGGAAAGTAGTTAATTGAGTAAGAAACCCACTGGGCAAGCTCCAGGCACACTAATTGTATGCCCCCCTTTCTTCATATGTCACTTGTGTTACCTGGGAAGTACATAAAATTGTGACAGCATGACTAGACCATATTCTTAAAGACAGTGATCTTATCTTGGATCTTATCTACATCCTGAAATTGAATTATAGACCAAAAAAAAAAAAAAAATCAGTGTAGCATATTGCTTCTTAAAGGCATGCACTAAACTAACATTTATTACAAATCAGTAACTAACTCAGCCTCTTCCCCACAGATGTTTTAAAGTTGAAACTGCAAATTAACCCAAATTAGCTCTTCCTGGGTCAGCTTTTCACCTTCCCTTTTTGATTCAAGAAACAGTATTATTCACACATATGAAACTAATCTTGCGAGACAGATTTTGGGGTTATTAAAACAAGAGGGGAAAAAAAGAGACCACCATTACAAAAAACTATAACTAACACTTCTTAATTAAGCTGTTGTTTCAGAACTGTACCTTAAAAACTTACATGGGGTATTTCTTTTTTTCCCTGATTGCCTTTGCAAAACACAAACCTGTAAGCTATTACATTAACTTGATTAGTACACTTGGCAAATCCAAAGGTCTGCCTCATGGTTTCTGGATGCAGGAATGGAATTTAAGCATAGAAAAAAAAAAATAGCACTTGGAACAGAACGTGACTGCTTAAAGACTGCAACTCTCTTTCCTCATTAGTGAATTCTTCTCGCTTATTTTGTTTACCATTAGTGCAGGTTTTGCAGGTTTAACTATCATAATAAACAGGGCTTGGGAAGGGATTTTACTCATCTGTACCACACAGCAGTTTCCTAGGTACTGTATCAGAGGTTTTATTTACCTTTTAAGCATGAAGTACTAGCTGTTGTCAGTATTGCACAGTACTCATCCAGGATAATTAAGGAACTTTCTTGTCTGCATCTGAGGACAAATTACTACTTACAAGAAGTGAGGACTTTTAGGCTGAACTGCTTAAGACTACCACACCATCCTGTGCCATTATTCTAGGAGAACAAAATGTAATTTGTTCTAAACAACTCATAGTATTTAATACTAAGTGTAGACTTTTTAAAAGTAAATTTTAAATGTTATTTAAGTATGTTGATACAGAACAACCACTTTAGGAGGGCTGGAGTTTATGGATTTCATTTTAGGACCATTATTGCAGAGCACAGGCCGAAAACAGCAGAGTAAATAGATGTATTAGCATAGGAAAGCTGAGGCAGTGACTTTTTATCAAGTATACAATGGCTGTGTTTAATCTTATTTTTAAATGTGAAAGACAGCAGCACTCATCCCTAATTTATCCTGTAGTCTTAACTTGCATGTTGGTGGGGGAAAGGAGCTGAGAATTCTGTATTGGACCATTTACAATTCTTCTCATCACAACTGTCCAGGATTAACTTTTACCTAAGTCCCGAGTGTGAGGAGCGCATCACCTACAGCTGTGCACAACTGGAAGGAAAAGCCTAACATTGCACAGAGTCCCTGTCAGGGGCACTGCCACCTGCCATAGCAGTTGCCACGGAGGGGGTCCGGTGCTGCCCCTCGGATGGGCAGGCTGACCGGAGAGATCCAGCCAGCAGCGTGGCGGGGCATGGAGCACAGCTCCAGCCGCTGCGTCGGTCAGTTGCAAGAAGGCAGGAGACAGGCTGAGGAGGCCTAGAGAAACCCTGGCTCAGGCGAGACTTCCTCTGAAGTTCCCGCCACGGCGGCCGTCCCTCCCTCCCGCGCTGTCACCATCCCGCCGGCACGCACGAGTACGCGCTGCTGCAGAGGCAGGCGGGGTGAGGCGACTTAAGCCGCAGCGACAGCGAGCCTGCCATGGCACCTCAGCCAGGACAGCGCTCTTCTCCTCAGCCCTGCCCTCGCCCCTCCGCCCGCGGGGCTCTCTGGCGCGCAGGCGGCGCTGGGCTCCGCCGAGTGCCGCCCGGGCAGTGTCCTCTCCCGCTCACAGGCAGCCCGGCCGGGCGGCCTCCTCCTGCTCTCGGGGCAGCGGCCGCTCCCCGGCCCGCCGGCGGGCGCGAGCGCCCCGCACTCCCTCCCTCGCCCGGAGCCGTTCGAAACTCCCGCCCGCGGGGCGACGCGCGGCCTCTCGGGGCGCGTCCCGCGGCCGCCCGGGGGGCGGCGCTGCGGAGCGCGGCCGGGGCGAGGGCGGCTCGCGGCCCGCCCGACTCGGGGGGAAGGCGGGAGCGCGGCGGCGGCCCCGGCTCAGGACCGGGGTCCCCGTGGGGCGGCAAGGCCGGGGCCATCCCCCACCCGCTGGCGGCTGCCAGTAACTTTCGAGTGACTTCCAAAAATAGTGGCAGGCGGGCGGCCCCCTCCCCCGCGGCGGGGGCTCCCGCAGCCCGCACTCCCCTCCGAGCCGTGCCCCCGACCCCCGCGCACCTACCGCGGCTGCCTGCTGCCGGCATGCGGGGCCAGCCAGTCAGCCCGCCCCTGCCTCCCACCGTGATTTTAATTTTTTTTTTTTTTTTTTTTTTTTTTTTTTTTTTTTTTTTTTAGTATTAAAATGGAGCACGAGGCCATCGAAACGCATCCCCGCGGAGCGTTTTCCGCGCTCCGAGTACCGCCGGGGCTAAACACGCAGCATCCCGCGTGCCCGCGGGGATGCGCGGCCGCCGAGCCCGGTTCAACCCTCCTGTCTCCCGCTCGCTCCCCCCACGCACACACAAAGCTGGCAACATGGCTACCTCCACTCTAACAAGTTCCTCGCAACTTGAGGCAGCTCGCCGCCTTGCCGATGGCGGGGAGAGGCGGCGGGCCCGGCTCGGCGCCCAGAGCGGGCGGACACCGCCAACTTTCCCCGGCGCCGGGCTCGGCGGGAGCGGCACATCCCCTCGCCCGGCCGGCACATCCCCTCGGCTCGGCACGGCGATGCGGCCGAGGTGGAGAGACTGTGAAATTGTAGGCGCAGGCCTGTGCAAAGTTTAAGCCTTAAATGCTCCGAGCTCAGAGCCCCGGGTTGCAAAATCCGTATCGGGGAGAAAAATTCTACTCACCTTCAGACAGGTCCTCTATGCACTCGAATGTGATTTCGAACTGGAAAGGATTGTAGAAAGGAGAAGGATTATCCAACACCACTACATTGTTCACCTGAACCTTTGCCATATTTTGGAAAAAAACACAAACAATAGGCAGAGCGTGTTAACGCCGCGCACTAAAGTCCTCCGTGCCGGGCTCCCGCGCCGCACAAGCCCCCGCTCCGCTGCCCGAGCGAGGCTGCAGGGCGGCGACTTCCACAAACTTTTTTTTTTTTTTTCGCCCCCCCTTTTATTTACACCGGGAACGCTCCACACTGTTCGCCGCTTTCCCTATTTCGCTCAACTACAGCCCATTCTGCCCCTGCTCGCCGCCAGCGCCCGCCCGGATTGGCCGCTCGCCGGGCGAGGGCCCTCCCTCCGCGGGCACGGCGGGCACCGAGCGCCGGCCAGAGCGGCCTCCGCGCGCGCCCGCCCCGCGCCGCCCCCGCCGCAGCGCCCCCGCCCGGCGCGCGCCGGCAACGGCCGCCAGCAACCGCCAACGGGCCGGGGGGCGGGGCCGAGCAGGGGGCGGGGCCAGGGCGGGAGAGGGTCCGGGCGGGCTTGAGGGAGGCGCGGAACATCTGCTTCTCTGATTTCCAGGAAAAGGACTGAGAGCTTATCTCTTTTCCTCTTCGTTTTTTCTTTGTTTTTTTTTTTTTTTCTTTCTTCTGTGTGCATTAAAGTCCAAGCAAGGGGAAAATCAGGAGGAAAGATCTTATTACGCAACTAGTCAGCTCTCCATTCGTGACCGAGGGACTCTACCTTAATTTAAAAGCTGTTGCTTTGCAATGATTTTATTTAAAGAAAAAATTAAGTACTAAGATGCGACTTCATTTCAATTGCTGGCATATAGCTTATGGGACTGTGTTTATCCTGCCTACCACAATAACTTTTATTGAAATTTATAAGGTTTAGATTAATATATAGAAGACGCATCTTTTGTCAGTGTATTTTATTTAAAGTTGTGAGCCCTGTGAGCTGAAGAAGAAAGTAATTTCCTTTCAAAGTGTTCATCCTCTGCAAGTTGTAAACAATGTAAGACCACATCCAGCTTGGAAAGTGCCCTAAGCTGAAAGTTGAGGCTGGAAGAATAGTAGGGCAAAATATCATAACTAAATTGGAACCATGGGTAGAACACGGACAAAACATAATCTTTTGTCCATTCACTTTAGGCAAAATGGTAAAGAAGCACTGTATCTCAACAGGACAAAAAACTGCTTGCAACTAGAGCTCATTTTAAAGTTTTATTTAACCTTATTTATAAAAGGGAAGATTCAGAAGTGTTTAAAAGAATCCTAAGTGGTTTTCTTATATGCTAGGATTGTGCAGTATTGTATAAACAGCAACTGCAACGCTGGCTGCTTGGGAGGAGTGAAAAACTACTAGGCCAGCACTCATGATGAAAATGTTCCCAACATCTTCCAGAACAAGCACTTTTGCTGTCAGAATGCACAAAACGAGTCTAATCAAGTAGGAAGGTGTATTAAGCTTTCAGCATCCCCTAAGAAGAATGTGAAAGAAAGCAGTGATTCACTTACAGGCTAAACCATCTTGCCTGCGGGGCTCCACCATGTGCAGAGGGGCACTTTCAGTTTTGGGCCCATTTCAGCCCTTTTTGGTTTTTGTCATGCTTTGTTTGGTGAGTTTTTATCTTCCTGTTTCTGTGCTGATTGTGCTGGTGCTGGTGGCATCCCGGGTGCCAGGAGCCCCCCCAGCTCAGGGCAGTGGGGCTGGGCAGTGGTGCCAGGCTTGTGAGCCCAAGCCTGCAGCCCACGGCAGTGACCTCTTGGCCGCTGGCAAGGGATATCCGTGCTGGGATAGAGCACCTGGCTGGCTGGGATAGAGCCCCTGAGCACAGCGGCCTTTACTGCTGGGTGCCCCGGGGGGGGGGGGACGGGCTGTCTGCAGGGCCCTGGGGGCTGCTGCTGGAGAGGCCGCCCCAGAGGGGCTGTGCAGGGAAGCAAGCATGCCTGTCAGGAAGCCATCCCCTTCCTCCATTTGTAGAAGTGTGCCCTGAAGCGCTACAAGACAGGACATCTGCCTGCACAGCAGCATTGCCAGTGCGAGGGCCCTGTGTGCAGTGCAGCAGGGGAGGCCATCTTGTGTGGCGGCAGGAGCCTGCAGCAGAGGCCATCTCATGGCTGCCATGCACAGGGGACAGCGCGGAGCAGAGTGACACTGCAGAGACAGTGACAGAGACACAGACACTGCAGAGCCACTGATGTCCCTCACGGCTCGGGGGGAGAGCAGAAAGTGCTCATGGCTCCAGGGGGGCAAGTTGCGTACCTCCACCACAGAATATTCCGAAGGAAATGCACAGTACCTCGTACTGCCTGGTACTCTGTGTTTCTGTAACTCTGCAGGGTGATTGATTGCCCACAGTGTTCGGCACACAGTCCAGGAAAACCAAGAAAGATTGGACATGGTGGAGCAATTCCTTATTAGAATTTGAAGTATATATTGTGTTGTCAGGAAGCATTTAATTCCAGTAACTTTTTGCTGGCCATTTGCAAACAAATAGGTAGTGTGGTGGGCTGCACAGTGATGACAAGATCTTTGTTGCCCTGAACCAAATGGTGATTCTGTGATTCTTGTGCAGGTTTTGCCATAGAATTCCAGGAGATTTTAGGCTGGTTGCAGCTTGTCAACTATTAGGATATTTTGAGCTGAACACTGGAATGGAAAAGAAGGGCTAAAGATAGAGAAGAAGTGAGGAAATAGGGAATAGAAGGATTGGAGGGAGCTGCACATACTTGCTAATGAGTGGCTGTTTCCACAGTTGTGCAGGGGTTTTGACTGGCTATCCACCCAGTGTTTTTTTATTTCTTAATTTTTTTTTTTTATTTCTTCCCCCATTTCATCCTTGGTCATCTTTGGGTTATCATTTTTTCTTAATGCTTAGAGGAAACAAAAAACTCATAAAGAAATTTAATTTCCTTAGTTTAAAGAAAGAATTTGAGTGCACTTTCTGGGGCCATGAGCTAAATGACAACTGAAATTTTTTTTTTTCCAAGCTTGTTTCGCAGCTCCAAAATTTCTGTCCATTTTAGTAGCTGATGTGGAGGAGGACCTGAATGGGTCTGTTCCATAATTTTGCAATCTTTGCCCCAGTTTTCAGTATGATCTGCCAGATCTAGTCTTTGTATGCTAATCCCTTTTGTTCATTTAACAAAGTTCTAAAACAAGTCACAATCCAAGCATGGGAAGCTTAGCAGAATCTGCTCCACAGCTCCAGGCTAACCCACCTCAGCACTGGTGGGATTTCTTTCTGGTAGCTGTAAAGTGAGTTAAATTACATGGTAGAAGTACATGATGGAGCTTTCCTGCTGGTTTGCCCTCTGTCCATGGCTCAAGCCACTGTGCTGGGTCCCTTTCTTTCACTCAAGTTTACTCCTGTATTTTAAGGAAGAGACTGGCTGAAGTATTTGATTCTTCAGGTTTGACAGTGACTGCTGTGAAGGAATTTGGGGAGTGGAATTTGGAAGCTGGAGCACTGGTGCTTGCAGATGGAGGCCTCTGTTGCATTGACGAGTTCAATAGTATCAAGGAACATGACAGAACCAGTATCCACGAGGCAATGGAGCAACAAACCATCAGTGTTGCAAAGGCAGGGTAAGTGGCATGTTAGCACACGTGAGAAAACAACATGAGATTTTTCTCTTGTTCTTACATGTTGGAGGGATGCTGATTAAACATATCTGTTTTCTTCATTGTATGCAATAGTTTGGTTGTCAACAATATTCCTGAACTAGACAAGTCAGTATTTCATAGGACAGTGCACTAGACCAGAGGCTGCAAGCAATCAGAATAAATACATACCCTCTTCACTGCTGGGTTTCCAATCTACTGCTACAGGCCGGGGCAGTTTTCTACAAAGACTTTGCATCCTTTTTCTTGCCCTTTGCTGCAAGTGGTTGAATAATCCTATGTGAAATGAGAAGCTTTGTGACTTTTTTTGTTGCAACTCAGAAAGTGGGGCTTTGTTTTTCCAAAATCACAAAATCACAGAGTCATTAAGTTTGGAAAAGACCTCAAAGATCATCAACTCCAGCCTATGACTCATCACCACCTTGTCAACTAGACCATGGCACTAAGTGCCATGTCCAGTCAATTCTTGAACACCTTCAGGGATGATGACTCCACCACTTCACTGGGCAGCCACTTTTTCAGTGAAAAAATTCTTCCTCATGTCCAACCTGAACCTCTCCTGGCACAGCTTGAGGCTATGTCCTCCTGTCCTGTAAAATCTGGTAATATTGCTTGGTAACCAAAGCACATCAGGAGATTTCCAGGCTGCTGAATTTTGTATGTTGGGTGTGGCATAACTATAAACTCCTGGTTACTTTAAGTTCCTCCCTTTCTTTTTTCAAAGTGGTGTGTGTTCAAATTTTTTATCTCCCCCACTACCCCTGCCCACCACTTGGATCTTTGAGCTCATATTTCAATTTGTCAGTCTTATGCAGCTCTTATTCAGGCCCAAATTATTTCCTGGCTGGTATTTCTGAAATCTCTGCTACTTAAAAGGCATCACCTTTTCCACGTTCCTTCTTGTCACCTTCCACTCAGCTCTTGCTCCAGTCACATCTTGGCTCCTCTAAGTGATCATATCCTTCCCTTATTGTGAGCATCTCCATCCTCTTCATCAGACAGCAGACAAATAATCAGAGAATATTCTGAGTTGAAAGGAACCCACAAGGATAATCAAATCCAATTCTTGAGTGAATGGCCTGTGTGGGAATTAAACCCACAACTTTGGTGTTTTTAGCACCATGCTCTTACCAACTGAGCTAATCTCAGGGTCATGTTGTTCTCACCTGGGTAATTACCAGCCTTTGCTAGCTGGGCACAAATACTTGGGATCAATATGGTCCTGTATCCTTAGTGAGACGGGGACATATTTCAGCTGAGTTCCTTGTTGCAGCTGTTTGGATTTGATAGACCCAAACACAGTTTGCTGTCTTGCACATAGATGCCCAGTTGCTCACTTTTAAGGACTACATATAATGAGGATTTTTTTAATAGTAACTTAGCACACATAGGTTAAGCACCTTGTTAATTTAGAACTTATTTTGGTGCATGGGAGAATAAGGTTTTTTCCTGCTGGGTATAAGCTAGTGGAAGATCTGTGGTCCTTCCTCCCAGTTACAGAAGAACTTTGGACGTGAGGCAGCAGTTACTCAGGAGCTGACTAGAAATAGCTCAGTGACAAACCAAAGTTAGAATGCTTCTGCTGCTGCCTTACCCAAAAGGAGTGCATTTGGACTACTAGAGTAAAAATAATCTCTCCCCACATCTACAAGCACATGCTAGGACATAATGGTTAAGAGTGGAAAATGGCTGTTTCAGTTTGTATGGCTGCCATCACTGCTAACTTGGATTCATATTCTTGTTTATACACAGGAACAAAACATACATTCATGTCACATGTTATTTTGCTCTCTTAAAATATGAATTAAGCACAAGTGTTGCTTTCCAGCATTCAAAACTGTTAGTATATTGTACAATCCTGCAATGCAATATTTATTTCTGAAAAGTAGTGTTGGTTTTCACTATTTAAGGATCTAGCTGTACACAGAGACTTATTTGTGGCAATGTTGGTTGGTGCCTTTTGGTATCCAGATCACTGTCTGTCTAGTTGCTGTTCTCTGACTGAAAAATGCTGTACATATAATAAATATTAATACAATAATTGTGTACATTGTTTAGCTCTTATGGTCTTTCAAGATAAGATGGGCTCTTTATAGGCTAAAACCACAAAAGTTTTTAAAAGCTTTGGAATCCTTTTCCCTATCCAATTTAATTCAACCATAATGTTCACCATACCTTTCTCCAGCTTGGTGTGCAAGCTTAGCACGAGGACAACTATCCTGGCAGCAACAAACCCTAAAGGCCATTATGACCCCAATGAGTCTGTCTCTGTCAACATAGCTCTTGGCAGTCCCCTGCTGAGCAGATTTGACCTGGTTTTAGTATTGTTAGATACAAAGAATGAGGAATGGGACCACATAATTTCATCCTTCATCTTGCAAAATAAAGGTAAGAGTAGTCTTCTTAAATCAGAAGGTTGGGTTGGGGTTTTTGTGGGGTGGGTTGTTTTTTTTTTTGGTTGGTTGGTTTCTGGTTTTGTTGCTTGTTTGTTTGGAGTTTTTTTGTTTTGTTTTGTTTTTTTTATTATTATTTTTCTCCATTTTTTAGTTTGCTGTTCTTGAATCTTTCTAATTAATCAGTGTTTATATTTTTGTCATGGTGGTTTTCTGCTGTATGGTTGTTCTTCAAGTAGATCACTAATTAATTAAGAGGGGTGAGCTGAGAACCCTCTACTTTTACTCTGGGATCATTTATAAGAGATTTCAGCCCAGGCTGCTCAGTAAGTGGATTGTTTCCATCTCAGACCGTTACGGTGTTTGAGCTGCAGATCCTACATGCCTTGCAATTGTACTTTCTATTAATCAGAAACTTGATTCAGGCAGAATAGCTCAGAGATGCATGTGCTGCAGGGCTCAAAGAATGAGCAATAGCATTCCCCATGTGGAGTTTGTGCTCTGGAATGAGGGAACGCAGTGTGATTTGATTCTGACCAGCCCCTTCCCCATCCACATCATGGAACATGGCTTCAATCCCCTTTACAGAAGAAGTGGTTAGAGGGAGCTTTTTCAGCTAATTTCCTTTCCTTTCCAAAATATTTGGAAAAATGTTCAGAATATGCCAGGTAGCTCTTGGCTCCAAAAGAGTAGGTAAAACAGCCAGAGGATGTGCATACACTCATGTAGCATCTTTCATTTTAAGGAGTTCCTGAGCACTTGGCACTGCCTGTACCATCTGGTGGCCAGTGAGGCTGACAGCAGTTCTCTAGAAATTACTGGAGGCTTTACTGTGGATTATGATATGGGAGGGATTGGATGGTGTGTGAAATTCTGCACTGGAATTTGACCAAGTCCTTGAGGACTGGTGTACAGACAGCCAGTGTGCCCCAAAAGTACAGTAATGTGTCTTTCATAGTCAGCTGTCTGTTTAGCAGGAGTTCTCAGGAAGAAGCTTGATGTCTGTTGTTACAGAATTACTGACAAGGGTGTTGTAATGCAGGCTGCCCAAGCAAATCAGAGAAGCTGTGGAGCATGGAAAGGATGAAGACCTACTTCTGCCTTATAAAATGCATACAGCCAAAATTGTCTGATGAGAGCAACCTGATCCTTGTTCGCTACTATCAGATGCAGCGTCAGAGTGACTGCAGGAACGCTGCCCGCACCACCATCCGCCTGCTGGAGAGCCTGATACGCCTTGCAGAAGGTAAGGCCTTGGCATTTCTATTTTTAAGCTAACAATTAACCTTTATGAAAGGAATAGAACAGTATAATTATAGCCAGTAAGCAGAGTAGCAGCTTTTCCATGGAGGTAAGGATAGGTGGTTTGGGTGATTCTTGTATGATTTTGTTTTATCCTTCTCATCTAAAGAGCCTCGGGGTTGGAGATTTTGTGTGAGAAAGGGTGGTACATTTAGACTACCAAAGCCAGTTTTAATTCTGACATTCTCATGTATATAATAAATATTAAAACCTCTAGAAAAAGTCACATTTAAGAGAAAAATCTCAGAAATTTTGTGTCTTTATGAGAGGCAATCTCAGGATTTACTTGGCTCCATTTGAGTCAAATATTTGCTCCTACTCTGAAATTATTATAACAAGATAAGCGCATTTTTAAAGTATTAATAATCCTAAAATTAATATCACAAAAAATATAACATATTTTTTGTTTCCTGAAGTATTAGTAGTCAAGCCCCTATTTTGTCATAGAATTCAAAAATTTCCAAGTTCAGGTCATATTTCATTTACAAGAAAGAACTCAAAGGATGCAGTAAGTCTCTGCTTATTTTGTTTTATAAAATGGTTTTATTTTATAAAATGGCATCTCAATATTTTCAGGATGAATTTAAAAAAATGTACTGTATTTTGTATAGCAAGCATAAATGCAGTGTAGCGCCTCCTACTTTAGATGTCTGCATTTTGTTCTCTATTTTGAGGGAAAGACATTCTCCATTTAAATGAAAGACATCCCTAACTTTTCAAGATTCACATATAATTTGCCCATTTAGTGTTTCTTCCCTTCTTATCAGTTCATGAGATTGGGGCTTTTAGTAGGATTTTGTTCTTTCAAAGTATTATTTAGATGGTATTAACTAACCTGTCTTTCTATTGCTGAATAAGAACTGAGTGTGCTTCTATGGCCAATTAGGAAAAAGGCTTCATGTGGTAAATTATTTGCATTATATCCATTTACAAAAATCATTTTTATTTTGCTGAATGAAGAAAGAGAAGGAAGAAAAAAATAAAGCTATTGTAGAGAAAAGCATTTTAGATAATACCAAATCTCTGACACAGACCAGGAAGAGGAATAAATTTTTTATGACCTGTGATGAAAATTAGACCTTATTTTTTATTCTGTGGTGATCACATGTGTCTGTGTAAAGAAGGATGTTTCATATCACGCCTGTTGTGATATCCAGCACTTTACATTTTTTAACTGCAGAATTTTAAGCGTCTTTATTCTGTCACTGTAACTGCAATTTGAAAATTACACCTCATTGAAAAACTAATCCTTCCAGTTTTTGTTGAAATTGACATTGAAATCAAAATCATTGTATTTATTTTTAAGTTATGCCCATGCATGATTGTTTGAGGGCTGAAGAAATTTGAATATCTTGTTCCTTCTAGTAAAAAAACCAAAAAATTGTTTTTTGACTTCGGTAACACTTGCTCCCATTTATTTTTGATAGCTCATGCCCGGTTGATGTTTAGGGATACTGTGACTTTGGAAGATGCTGTAACTGTAGTGTCAGTGATGGAATCTTCTATGCAGGTAAGGTTTCCTGAAGACATTGCCATTGCTGCAATACCACATTTAAGGGATTCAGTTTTACATGTAGACATGTGCCAGCTCCCTTCTTCTCTTTGGAAAGGATTTTATGGATTCATGCAAAGTAGGCAATCAGAGACCTTGGCAAGTCTTTTTTAGTCCATCTTGATTGTTAAAATCCTTAACAGAGATTATACTGAAAAACCTGGATTAGGATAAAGGCCTGCTACCCTTTTTATAGACTATGCAGTCTAAGTGAAGTTTTGGCATACTGTTGGCTTTTGGTATCTACATTTAAAGACTTTTTGAGACAGAAAGTGTGTATATATCACTGTGTTTAATAACCTCTGACAGGTTTTTCTTCCACAATGTTATATTGTCACTCATTAATTAGGTATGAGAGAACCAAATAATTCTTTGGAGCTAGTTCAAACAGTTTCCTAGACTTACAATTTATTTTGCCATTAAATAATTTTAAACTATTTTGGTAGTATTAGTAAAACTCAGAACACTTAGAAGACAAATTTTATTCTTAGAAGCCTTAAAATTCCAAAACTTTGGTTGGTCTGTAACTCCTGCATTCCAGTTATCACATGGATTTATGTAATGTTTCTGTGCAAAAAGGCATTGAAAAAATGTGAAGGGTTAGATTTTAGTTTACTGTAATATTGCTATTAGGATGTTAAAAAAGGAGCACACTTAGAATTAGTAAAAGAAATGTGAATCTGCAAAAGGGTTTTTTTTAGTAGAAATATGGAAAATAATATAGACACTATTACTTCAGACAGAATATTTTTAAGATAAATAAATCTTCAGGCTTTGAAGTAGGAAAAAAATTACCATAAGCAGATTATCCAAAGTTTTATGTATGGGGGTTTTTAGCACATCTGAAATGTTTGTGTTTGACTCTGTCAGAGATGGTGTTCTGCTACTACCACTACTCAGCTGACTGGTGTGACCCAAAATGGCATTTCCTATGTTCTGTATAGGTTGATTTGAATATTTAAAAATTGAAACAGTTTTACAGAGCACCTGTTAGTTCAATAGGCCTGAAAGACCTTTGTGGAAGTAGATATGCTCCTTTTTTTTGAGACAAAGCTCTTCAGGATAGATGCACAAGTCACATATGGCAGGTAGGCACTTGTGATCTCCCTTGTCCTTTCAGTGAGGGTTGAGAGACTAATTGCAGTTTGTGCCACAGATAATCTATTGCACAACGTTGCAAATGGAATTTATCTCAAAAATACTACAGGGCCTGACCTTATTAAGTAGGAAAATTATTTCACTGTCTGCTGCACTTCATCTTGCACTGTTTTGAAGAACTCAGCTTTTCAATGACAGCACTGCATCAAAGTTAAATATGAAGCTGTTGAAACTGCAGAAGATACCACATTAGTCTTCATTAGCTGTAATTAAACCTGTAATTAACTAGATGGTAAATTGATGGGATGGTGGTTTTAAATTAATATGGTTTTGAATATTAGAACTCTGCAATACTGATTTTTTTTTTTTGGTAACAAATCAAAAAGTGAAACCTATGTATATAATAATAATAATAATAATGAATGTATCCCCTGTGTGTCTCTCTACATGATCAGCACAAGTAAATGTAAAAGAATTGTTTTAACTGTGGGTCACCATTTCATTTTTATACAGGCCTGCCCTCAAGGGCTGCAGGTTGACCTGGCCAGGGTCAACCCACTACATTGTGTAAAAGTTTTTGTCTAATAAGAGTCAGTGAGAAATTTCCCTGAATTATGACTGCAGAAGACTACCTGGGAGTACTTGGTATCCTTACCATCTTTGCTCCACTCTTAGCTTCTTATGAGCAAGTAGGCAAACGTGTTCATTTTTGCTAGGAAAGTGCAAATTTGAGATTTGCTATTTAAGGTCAGATTTTACTTTCCTCCTGATAAGTATGAATAATCACTCAAGTAGTTTATTTTTGAAGGAAGTGGTTTATTTGTTTTATTTTAAAAAGATAGAAGTAGCATGCAAATCCTATTTTCAGAAACAGATTCCTTCTCTAGAAAAAATAAAAAACCACAACATTTTGTACAGATACATCCTTTGTTTGCTGATTAATTGTCAGTCTCTAGAATGAAGTTGTAAATGAGGAAGTGCCAGTATCATTCTGGAAGGACTGGCTGCCACCTTTTAGCTCAGCAACCTCCCTCTTTGACACTGTCTTTGCAACTTCTAAAATAAGTCATGTTCTTGCCAGTATAAAATGGAAGTTCACAGTTCTTCTGTGACTGAGTATTTCTTGTGAGCTCTCTTGAGAAGGAAGACTGTCACATTTTCATCATCAACCAACTTCATTGGAGTTTTTTGTTTTGTTTTGCCCTCTAATTCACCTTTATATTTCTCTTTCCTACTTTGTTTTTGTGAGCATATTCCAAACCCCCCTGGCTTGATTGTTTCTTTCCGTCATTTTCTTTTGCTAGCATCATCTCCCTTCTTCTCTTGGCCATGTTTCCATCTTCGGTTTATTCTCTTTCCAATCCCTCTTCTTTTATTCCTTTTTATAATTTGTCTTTCCATTCCTAGGCATTTTACACCTTTCCTTTCCACTAACTTTCCTTGTAACGTTTTCTCTGTTTAAGATCCTCTGCCCTCAATTTGCAGTGGTTTTGTCATATGGTTTCCCTACTCTACTCAAAATGATATCTCAAAATCTCAGAGGGGCAGGTATCTCAGAGACATACCTGAGAGCATATGCATCTCAGAGCTGCAGCACAGGAATTAAGCTTCACAGCTGTCTTAAATTCACTTAGAATTTCACATGCACACACAGTATTTAAAAGAAGCTCCTTGTGATGGCCCAGCAAAGGACTGAAATGTCAGTGAGGGCAAGACATTATTGTAGCCCATGGCTGTACATCTCAGGATATACAACCACATAGTCCTCTTTTTTTCCACTGGGTCCCTAGGTCAGACGTTGACAGTACTCAGTCTAAAAGCAACTATCTTTTGTCAGTGTTTTGCTCAATAATTTATTTATTACCTTTTGTTGTAAAGGTAATATTCTCAATTTCTTAAAGTAATTTTCTTTGGAATTCATCTCCAGTGGCCTTGGATATTTCAGAAATACCAATTCACCTATCTTAACACAGTCCTTGCGAAGTGATGGGATGGTGCTACTCCTCTGATCTGGAGCTGAATTATGTACAGTCCAGAAGAAATTGTCCACTAGATCATACCAACCTGAGAGATGGTTGGGGCCCCAGTTTTAGAGTAACAGCACTTGGAGTGTTTGAGCACGTTTCCTGTTGTCCGCAATTTCCTTCTGTGCACACGCCATGTCAGGATCCCACTTAAAGATTTATTTTCTTTCCTTTCTTGACTGGCTCTTTCTGAATCACAAGAACTGGAGCATAGCATCAGAGGTGGAATCTGGTCCTCCTTGTCTGCTTTTTATTGTTCTAACCAAGAGACTGAGTCTCTGCCTCATTCCCTATGAACCTTCCTGAAGCAAATACAACAGAGGAGTTCTGCTGGAGCCTTTTCCATGCCAAGAGACTGGTGCTTCTATGTGGAACAAATCTATCATGTTTCTGAAGTGATGGCTGAAAAAACCCCAAGTGGTAACCTCAGTGGGATGCATTAAAGGTTGCATGGACAGCCTTAATTCTAGCATGTTGTAGTCTTAGAGAGCTTTAATTAGCCACAGAGTGATGGTTTTCAGTGTAATTTTTTTAATATAATATTTTAACATTGCAAAATGGCAGAACCGGAAATGACCACAATTGAAGACGTGTAATCCATGTGATGCCATAGGTAGCAATTTCTGGATCTAGAGACTTCATTGACTTTTGCTATTGTGCCCATGGCACTTGATACACATCTTGTTCATCAGTTGTACTGAGCTTTATAGATTAGACAGGAGTGGTAAATGCTAACTAATCTGTGGCAAAATAGAGGGTTTGTGGTGTGAGGTGTTTTTTTCCAAGAGCAATTAACTACAGAGCTATTCTAGATTTTTTTTTTGTGGAACAAATCACTGAGCAGATGCTCTTTTCCCAGTAAAAATGAACTTCATTTTTATAAGGTACAGCAAAAACTGTCCCAGATTAGAATCAATTACAATTCACTGGAATTATTCACAAATAGTAAGTTATTCTTAAAATGCTATTCCGAAATATTTCTGCCTAATAATTTACACTGTGTTGACAAGTCTTAAGTCCAGGTCTTTTCCTTTAAGAAATTAGGAAAACCTAATTAAAACTTCTAGCAGTCAGAACTTCTTCAGTTAAAAAAATTCCTCACATAGGCACAATTTTTACAAGATATTTGGAAAATATCTTCAATCTTAATTTTCATTTTCAGTCATGATGTTCTCAAGCTTTAGGTGGACTTCCCATTCCATGTGTCAATAGAAATAAACAAGTATGAGTAAACTGCAGGCTTGATCATGTAATTGCTTTATGTTTATGACAATTTTGACCATGTGATCAGATCTAATAGGATTATTTGTGTGGATACAGTTAGCAAATATTTGCTACCTTAAGCTTTAAAAAATCTAAGGGAGAATTTCAGATAACATGTCTGTTGTTTAAATTTAGTGTTTAATAATAAAGATAATTTCCTATTTTTTTTTTTTAATCTCCTTGGTGCCATAGGGGGGTGCACTTCTTGGAGGCATCAATGCCTTACACACTTCATTTCCAGAAAATCCAATGGAGCAATACCGAACACAGTGTGAAATCATACTGGAGCGGCTGGAGCTGAGAGATCTTCTGCACAAAGAGCTACAGAGACTTGACAGGTTGTGATACACAAAGTAACAAACTAATTCAGAAGGGAAACAGAATTTGTTTCACAATAATATCTGCAAGGGATTCCTTTAGAGGACATGGATAATCAGGGAGATTGTTTTAAAGTGCATTCACAGATCATCACAAGATCTGGGTTATAGAATTTACAAATATTTTAATAATTTCCCAACTCATATCTCAATGTTATGCTCAGATAAGTTTCAAAAGTGCTTCTTAGAGTCAAAATACTAGATTATGTAGCTGAGCAAATAATTTTATATAACTTTTTCTACTTGTTTGGTAAAATACAGCAGATCTGCTTCATGATTTTTTAATCCACCTTTTGTATTGGGCTTGTCAGGATCCTTCCCTTTCTGTTAATGAAAAATGTAAGCCTGAATCAAACTTCTGTTCTTTTGGGTGATTTTTCTTTTTTACGTGCTGTACTTTTCACTGTTGCATCTCTATTTTTCAGCTCACTGCAATAACCTTTGGGAAACCTATTTTTTTGTATTAATAGAAAAATTTTAATGAAATCCTTCAAATTTTAACCTCAGAGAAAAACCCTAGAAGTGGAAGGAAATAAAATTTTAAAAAATCAAACAAAAACCCCACATTTTCTTCCTCAAATGAGATTAAGCTTTAAAGAAACTTGTTTTTCCTTACTGTTAAAGGAAGATAAAAGATTAATTTTGTTAAAATTAATGGAAACAGCTGGCAGAATTCACTTTGAATATTTTTGAGACTTATTTTGTAAATTATAGTAATGATGTGTTATATAACCACAGAGTCAACAGAAACAGATGAAAGTGAGATATCTTCAACAGACAGACAAAAGCTAGTTTTAAAACAGAGATAATTTATAGGGGTCATAGAAATGCAGGATGGGATGGGAGATCAAATACAAAGAGAGGATCAAGGCTGTGTTTGACCTTCCTGGCAGGAGCTCTCATTATCTGCTCTGAAGCTTTCTAATGATGAGGATTTTCTGTTGCCATTCTATAGTCTCTTCCATGATGCTCCACCCAGTGCCCATAAAGGTTTTCCCAATATCCCACCAAATGGCCTCTGCTGCAAATTAAGCTGATTTCTTCTTCTCTCAAGCAGCCTAGGGAATGCTAAATTAATGTCCTCTTTAAAACAACCCATTCTGTATTGCAAGATTTATTCCATGCGTTCCCCCTAAACTATATTTCAAGAAAACAAGCATGTGTCATATATCTCATCCCTTCCTGATGAGTCATATAATTTCTGCCACATTCCATTTAAAAATTTAAGAATATACATGTTAGTAAACAATTACAGTAATTATTCTAAATATGTCTATACATGTCTACATAGTGTTATATCTCTCCCAGAGCAGCGGAACTGTTTAGCAAAAAACAGATTGCTGTCTGCCTTGGAAAATACATGTTTAGGTACAATAGACAGAACATCAGCTATTCTGAGATTGGAGAGAACCCTCACTCAAGCACCTCTGTTGTTTTGGAGGGCCCTGATAATACTGATAGCCACAGACAGTGATAAATAAGTTTTATAAGTGATTTGAGATGCTTTTATTCTTTCACGTTTTTGACAAGTTGAGTATATAGTGATTATGAGAGAAACCCAAAAACAACCACTGTTCCAAGTAATACCCAGGTTTTCCATTCTAGTAACTCATGTGAGACTTTACCTGGCTCAGGATAAAATTGAATTAGGTTCCTGTTCTAGAAGATAGACTTACAGAATGTGTAAAACCTGTAAGGGACTCTAGCAATGATTGTAAGTAGTGCAAAGCTGTTTGTGTCATTTTTATTTTTTTCTGTTTGGTTTCCCAAGGAAATGTAGTTTAGGTTTAGGTTGCTTTCTCTGTCCATCTGCCTGCCTTCTATTGAGGACACTAAATTCTGCCACTTTCTCTCAAAGGTGCTGAAAGATCACAGCTTGCAACACCAGCTTTCAGAGCTGTGTGTGAAACTTAATAATATATTTTGTGACCTACATTATTTGTAGCTTTCCACCAGTCATGCATGTTATGTATCACTAATGCAATGAAGAAAGAAAAAGGAAGAAAATTAATTTGCTATTGGTTTGGGTTTTTTTTTTTATTGTATAGATTGCAAAAGGAAAATTCATTCCGGCAGCAGCCTGAAGAAACAGATTTCAGTACTACCACAAGGTGCTCAAATGAGGGTGCATTTGGGCAGTCAAAGCAAAGGTCTCAGTCAGAACCTTCAAGTCAAGAAGGGGATAACTCTGGGCCACACACACCTTTACTTGAAGGCAGCTGTGAAGGGAATATTCATCTAGAACCCTTGTGCAACTCAGCACATGCTAATAACAAAAATACAAGCAGCCTGGCATGGTTTGACAACATGGAAGAGAACAGCATTGATGCTGAAGAAAATTCTCAGAGGAAGTCTCATGTGCCCAAGGTATCTCCAAATAATTTGTCTTCAAAAACTTCAAGTTCTGAAAAAAGCTCTGCTTCAATACCAAGGAAACAAAATGGAATAAGAGAGTCACCAGCAGCTGTGGATCTGCATGCTCCTCTGAACCAAAAGGACAAAGTTTCCAAGTTAAGGAGGAAAAGAACTGAAGAACACAACTGTTCTTCCTCAGAAGATAATATTGCAGAGCCAGCACCAAGTGCTAGTGTGCAGGATTCAGTTATTAGACAACATGCGTCTAGAAGCTGGAAGAGGCTGCACAGGGAGAAGTCATATGGATTCTTTACAAGTACACAGGACCCTGAGGCAAAGGCCCTTCCTTCTGTATTACCTGCCTCTGGCCTGGCAGATCTCTCAAGTGATGCAGATTCTGTGCTAGGAGAAGAGAACAGCACATCAGTAGCAGCAAAAAGTACAGCAGTTTCCATAAGAAAAAGAAGTAAAGATCAAGTAGTGAAGGAAACAAAGGTCGTGAGTTCCCATGAGCAAGAAAGTGGAAGTCCCCCAGCTGCTAAATTAGCTAAATTTTCTTTCAGACCAAGGACAAAGCTTGGTCATTCTTCAGAGAAGACAAATGAAGAATTTTCTCATTTACCAAGTGAGACTATTTTTAAGCCAGGAGAGCAGGTCCAGGGAGAGCAGCTTCCAGAAGAATGCTGCCCACCTGAGAAAAGCAAGATGACATTGACTCGCTTAGGAAAATGTAGTTTGGAAAAAGGATCAATTGATAATAAAGCGGTAGAAGAGCAGCAGAGTCGGGCCTTAGGGACAGAGACCAGAGAAAGTGCAGCAATATGCTCTGATGTCAGTTTTGATGCTGTGCCACCTCCACCCCCTGAGAAGAAAAGGGAGGCAGAGGAGAAACTGGGTGGTCCAAGCACAGGGAAGGTGCGCTCCAGCACATTAGCTAAGCTCTCCACCTTCTCCTTTGTATCACGTCCTGAGGCAAAATCAGAAACCTCACCTGCTGTTAAGAATGACACCAGCAAGGAAAACCACAGCCCATCACTGCAGGTGCACGTGAGCAATCCTAGCAAAAGGAAGAGTTTTGCATTTGGAAATTCTAGAACAGCCAGCGTGGTCACAAAGACATCTCTCTTCTCCATAGCAGAGTTGGATGATGCTACATTAGATTTTGATTGGGATAAAGAGGTTAGGAAAAATCCAAGCACGTAAAATTTCTATCCTCCCAATTATTTAACATGCAGTTCTTCTGAATCTTCACTCTTCTATCACTTGTATCCATGGTTTTCAAAGCATTTAATGGAACCATCCTGGACCTATGAACATCTTTCTTTAAGGGCCATATATTTTACATAAGCAAGAACTGTGTGTGCTGCAGGCCTGATTTGGCTTTTAGTTTTCTCAACTCTTCCCAAGACTGTTTATCTCAGTTCACTGTTTTGATTGAACTGATGAACCCTAAAGACTTGTGTGTCCAGAGTGAGTGATCTTGCAGAAGAGCAGTCTTAATTGTCCTTCCAAGTGACTGTGCCACTTTAGAAAAATTATGGCACTCAAGCTATGTTGTTATATTTTGTTCATCTGTATGTGCAATTTGTCTCATAATGCCTCAGCATTACCAATATTGTGATCTATCATCATGCTATGGTAAATGTTTCTGTATTATGAATATCATGACAACTTTGCTTCATCTTTGATTTGTCACACAGCTGATGTTGAAAACACAGATTGAGAGCTTTTGGTTTCTGATTTTTACTTTCGGTTTTAAATACACTGGTTTAGATATCTGTGTCTCTATTCTAGGTCATTTTATCAAAACTCATCTCTGTAATAAACACACAGTTCCCCACTGCAGAGACAATGAATTTCAGGTGATTGAATGGGAGTTGTCAGTAACCAGGGTAACTTTAATGCAGGCATTAAGCCCTGGCAGATAAACTACACTTCAAACCTAGCAGCACAGTGAAGAGCTTCCCTAGTGTAGCTGAGTTCTGAGTCAGATAATGTTTATTTGGATATTTTAATTATTATTAGAGTTTTACTGCATCTGATCTGTAGTTTGTCTTCTGTAGCATGCTGCATCTTGTGCCATACATTTGTCTGATGGGAAGTTAATCTACTAATGCATTCCATATTTACAGAGAAAGGTAAGCCTTAATTTTCTTCTAGTGACTTGCTTGGTGTGTTTCTTCTGTGTTTGAATTCTCTGCAGAATATTCTTGTTATAACCTGCAAGGTAAACAGAGAATGGAGGGGTTGCTTACTGCACAGTAAATCCCTTGGGAGACTTGCTAGCAGAAAGACCTGATTCTCTCTTGATTTGCTTAGAAGTAGCTCATTTGAAACCAAGTGAGTTAAAATACTGCAGAATTTCAGAGAATTGAGGGAGTGTGAGGCCCAAGTACATCAGAGTGGTACAGGAAAATTATGAGAACACTAAGGGTAGTGTTGGCTTACTGTTCAGAGTTCAGCAGAATGACAGAAACATTGCTGTCCAGACTGATTGTGTGGTAGTTCTTCCACTGAAAATGTGCCATCGACCAAAACAAGTGGAATTCATCCACCTCCCTCCCAAAGCACAGAGCCACCCTATCATGTTCCTCCTCATACCTATGCCAGGGTGAGGTTGATGTGCACCCATGATCTATTGCCCATGAAAATCAGACTTATCCTATGGGCTGCTGTGTCTGCCCTGAAAGAGGGGTCAAGGATTCTGGACCCATGAACATTTGTGATGGTCTTCCTACTTGAACATTTTGCATCAGCCGCTTGCATGGTGATCTCTTTTGCAGTCAGAAATTCTCTTTCCTAGTTTTTAGGTTTGATGGATGTTACTGGCTGGCCAGTGCAAAATAGCTACTGTCTTTACTAGCCAAGCTTCCAACCCTAAAAATTATATGTTTGAGCACATTAGGACAAGTTTGATAATGCCCTGGAGACTTTCCAGACTTTCTGGAAAGAGCATGGTTGGGTCAGTGTCTGCTACTTAGATATGTTTTTTAGGCAGCTAAATCCAAACATAGCCTGTAGAATTTAGGTAGAGTGAATTTCTCATTTTTCATAGTGTCTCACTGGTGATTAGTTTTTGTGGGATAATATGCTAGATAGTGTATCAGTAAAAAAGAAACTTTTCAGGCTCCCCTGATTAGAAGTAATCAGCATAGTACTTTAGGAAATGGAACTGTGATTCTTTGCTGGGCAGAGGTTTTTGAGATTTCCCATTTAGAAGCAAAGGAGGCACAGGAATATTCCACTGAGCTTGCAGAAAGGCCCATCTTCTCTACTGTTGGAGGAAAAGTACTGCTGCCTTTCCAAACTGTCTGCAAACAGGTCATATTCACCCACATGTGAGGGATAAGCTACCAAAGAATAAATTTGGAAAAGCAGATACTGCTGAGATTGTTCTTTACCAGACCAGTTGAAATACTGCTGTTGTGGTATTGCTTCTGATTCATAGCATGAATTCAGAGCATCCAAGATAAATGAGGAGCTCACAATAATAAGAAAATTATACCTGCTGTTGATTTACTCCCTCACTGTTGCCATTGCTACAGAATCCATCAGTGCTTTCACAGGGAACGTTGCTAACTTCTTTCCTTTCCCGATATAAACCAACTTCCCCCACAAATAATCACAAGTTTTAATGTTTTGGAGTGCTACAATAGCCCAATGAAGGGAGAATTTAAAGCACTATGGCAGTAGCAGTCTGCTGGGCTAACATACAGATGAATTTTGAGTGCTTTGTGCAGTCAAGGGGCAGATGAGTCACTTCCTGTCAGCCTGTCTTCCTGGGCACACACTGAGCCATTATCTGTTTTATCACTTGCCTCTCTGAGTCTATGGTCTATCAAATCAATTACTATACTTAATAAAATACTCTAGTATTTTATTAAGCTGTGTTCATGGAAGGAGAGTATACACTGCCTGGTCATGCAATGTCAGTGCAGCTCCCTCCAAAGCTCCCCTGGGAGGTACTGCCCATCCTGTTTAAGGGACTTCTGGAGCAGATACCTAGTTCTTAGGCTTGTAAAACAGCCCAGAATAGAATCACTTGCCATGTAAACATCTTACAAAAACAGCCTTCAGTTCTTTCTAGCAGTATGAAAATTTTAAACACATGCCACAAAAAATATGGCAGAAGTTGAACTGAAAAGGGAGTGTGTGCCATGTGGCTGAGCTCCTCTGCTAACATGTTCTTGTGCTGACCTCCAGCCAGTCTTATTCCCCTTCGTATGATGCTTTTTATTCTAAACAGCTGGCAAGCAGAAGAAAACCCTACATGGCTGAGCTTTCTTGTTGTTCATGTTTTTCTTAAGTGGTCTGAATGTTGTGATTCTTGTTGGCTACACGAGTTAATGAGCTAAATATCATAATGTGATGTGCACCAGGATTACAAAACCAAGTGAGCTAAAGACAAAGCAAAGTCAAACTGAACTGAAACTTCTGATTAGTGGATTCCGTGTGAAGAGATGTCCCAAGTGAGGATATAAAATATCCCATTCTAGAGAGAATGTATTTATTGATGGGAAGATGAGGGAGATCGAGTATTAAGTGCTCTCTATTTCATGTGAATGAGGCAATAGCTTCATTAATAATGAATAATAATTATGTCATCTCCCTTAGGTATCTGGTATGCCTTTGCTTATCAATACTTTTCTTCCTGTTAGACAGAAGAATATTAATAGTTCCAAGGAATAACACTGTCCTTTACTTAATAAGGAGCACAGCTATTTTAGAAAAGAGTAAAAATGTGGTTTTTGTCAAGTTTGACTATTATGAGCCAATATGTGCAATTACAATTGTGCACATAATATTTCTATATGTGTCATTGCATAACTACATACACAATATATGCATAACAAGGGCATATTGTTTAAAAATTAGGTGTTATTGTACAAATAAGATGTATTGTGCAATGCCATTTAGGAAGAGATGTCCTTTGGAGCAGTGACTTTTCAATCAGTCACATTTCTTAATTTGAACTCAGTAGTCATGAGAGAGTTAGCATGTGTAAAAAGGCAAGGAAAGAAGTATGTGTCATCACAGTCCCCAGCAGAAAAGCTCGTGCAAGCCTGCATGACCATGATCACTCACAAGGTGTTGGCACCTTCTGAATAGCAGGTACCAAGTTCCAAATCATCCTGTTACTGCTGTCAACATTATTCCAACTCCATTCTCCCTGGCAACTGAAAGCAGGGGTGAAGAACAGTGGGAGCTGCAAGTTCCCTGATGTAGTCATCTTCTGTGTTCAGCAGCATCCTTATGTTGCTTATCTTCATTGCCAGATCCTAGGTGAGTGCACCACATTTTTCCAAAATGTTACTTGTCTTTCTCTGGAAAGGTTTTCTTTCTCCATTCAAGGCACCTACTCACCACAACCCACTGTTCATCTGTCAGAACAAAACATCACAAGGAAGAAAAAGAACACTTCTGTAGCTTGAACGTGAGAGAGGCAGTCAGCAACTTGAGCAGCTGCACCTGCAGCTCTGCTTCTAGTCCATCTCAGTGGTCTGGAAGCACAGCTCCACTTGAAGGAATCATGCAGCTTCACCAGCTTCACTCCCACTCAACACTACCAGGACAGCAGCTTTACTCCATTCCCACTTTCATGGGATGAGGAGGTGTAAAAATGTCCTTGAATGCAAAGGTCTGTGTGCTTTACAGCTATGATTTTTAAGAGGTTCTTTTGGATCACAGATTGACCTCAGAAACATTTGTAGTCAGAGTTAGAATGAATTTCCTCTAAACTGTCCCCTGAATTTCCCTACAGTATTTTTGGTAAAAAATACATTTACAGCATCTGGCTTATAGTTTCTGAATACTTATGTCTGATGTCTCTGCTATACTCTATAGCTAGTGATTAACAGCATCACTGAAAGATCTTTTCCTGGTTTAAATAAATAACAAAGACCCAAGCCAAAATTATTTTAAATACACCATAAAATGTTGGAAAGATTGAAAACTTTAAAGTCACTAGTGTGTTATTCCAGTTTTTGCTTGAATAAGAAAGAATATTTCCAGTGACCTCAGTGGGATAATTTTCTTATAACCTTCACAAGATTCAGCTCAGCACCATGTACTTTTGGGTCCATTACCCAGCTGTCAAAATTCAGAACTAAGTACCTTTCTAATCTTTTGAAAGAATCCTTTCCTTCAAGAAAACTGGAATTGAAAATATTCCACGTTCTCTCAATGAACATAGAGAAAATAGAAAGTTTTTTTTTCTATATTAGCAATTAAAGAAATGTAAATTGAACTGTTAAAAAGTAGAAAGTTTAAGTTCCATCTCTAATCACCTCTCAGTATCACTGAAATGATGATATAATCTAATATAATCATTAGATTTGAAATTACCTTATTCTGTTAAGTGTTAC